AAGACAGGGATGCCCACTCTCCCCACTGTTATTCAACATAGTACTGGAGGTCCTAGCCACGGCAATTAGACAAAACAAAGAAATACAAGGAATCCAGACTGGTAAAGAAGAAGTTAAACTGTCAGTATTTGCAGATGACATTATATTGTACATAAAAGACCTAAAGACTCCACTCCAAAACTACTAGAACTAATATCAGAATTCAGCAAAGTTGCAGGATACAAAATTAACACACAGAAATCTGTGGCTTACCTATACACTAACAATGTATAACAATAGCAAGAGAAATCAGGAAAACAACTCCATTCAAAATATCATCAAAAAGAATAAAATACCTAGGAATAAACCTAACCAAGGAAGTCAAAGACCTATACCCTGAAAACTATAAGACACTCTTAAGAGGTCACTAACAAATGGAAACTCATCCCATGCTCCTGGCTAGGAAGAATTAAAATTGTCAAAATGGCCATCCTGCCCAAAACAATATACAGATTCGATGCAATCCGTATCAAATTACCAGCAGCATTCTTCAATGAACTGGAACAGATAGTTCAAAAATTCATATGGAGCCATCAAAGACTCCGAATAGCTAAACAATCCTGAGAAGGAAGAATAAAGTGGGGGGGATCTCACTCCCTAACTTCAAGTTCTACTACAAAGCCACAGTAATGAAAACAATTTGGTACTGACACAAGAACAGAGCCACAGACCAATGGAACAGAATAGAGACCCCAAACATTAACCCAAACATATATAGTCTATTAATATTTGATAAAGGAGCCATGGACATACAATGGGGAAATGACAGTCTCTTCAACAGATGGTGCTGTCAAAACTGGACAGCTACATGTAAGAGAATTAAACTGGAACCATTGTCTAACCGCATACACAAAAGTAAATTCGAAATGGATCAACGACCTGAATGTAAGTCATGAAACCATAAAACTCTTAGAAAAAAACGTAGGCAAAAATCTCTTAGACATAAACATGAGCGACCTCTTCCTGAACATATCTCCCTGGGCAAGGAAAAGAAAAGCAAAAATGAACAAGTGGAACTATATTAAGCTGAAAAACTTCTGTACAGCAAAAGACACCATCAGTAGAAAAAAAAGGTACCCTACAATATGAGAGAATATATTTGTAAATGACAGATCCGATAAAGGCTTGACATCCAAATTACATAAAGAGCTCACCCACCTCAACAAACAAAAAATAAATAATCCAATTAAAAAATGGGCAGAGGAACTGAACAGACAGTTCTCCAACAAAGAAAGTCAGATGGCCAACAGACACATGAAAAGATGCTCCACATCGCTAATTATCAGAGAAATGCAAATTAAAACCACAATGAGATATCACCTCACACCAGTAAGGATGGCTACCATCCAAAAGACAAACAACAACAAATGTTGGTGAGTTGTGGAGAAAGGGGAACCCTCCTACACTGCTGGTGGTAATGTATATTAGTTCAACCATTGTGGAAAGCAGTATGGAGGTTCCTCAAAGTGCTCAAAATAGACTTACCATTTGACCCAGGAATTCCACTTCTAGGAATTTACCCTAAGAATGCAGCACTCCAGTCTGAAAAAGACAGATGCACCCCTACGTTTATCGCAGCACTATTTACGATAGCCAAGAATTGGAAGCAACCTAAGTGTCCATCAGTATATGAATGGATAAAGAAGATGTGGTACATATACACAATGGAATATTATTCAGCCATAAGAAGTAAACAAATCCTACCATTTGCAACAGCATGGATGGAGCTAGAGGGTATTATGCTCAGTGAAATAAGCCAAGCGGAGAAAGAGAAATACCAAATGATTTCACTCATCTGTGGAGTATAAGAACAAAGGAAAAACTGAAGGAACAAAACAGCAGCAGAATCACAGAACCGAAGAATGGACTAACAGGTACCAAAGGGAAAGGGACTGGGGAGGATGGGTGGGTAGGGAGGGATATGGGCGGGGAAGAAGAAAGGGGGCGTTACGATTAGCATGTATAGTGTGTGGGGGCACGGGGAGGGCTGTACAGCACAGAGAAGATGAGTAGTGATTCGATAGCATCTTACTACACTGATGGACAGTGACTGTAATGGAGTTTGTTGGGGGGACTTGGTGAAGGGGGTAGCCTAGTAAACATAATGTTCTTCATGTAATTGTAGATTAATGATGCAAAAAAAAATCAGATTCCCTGGCATCTCCCTATGAAATAAACAGCAAATTTAAAACATTTAGATATTTTGCTCTATCTAAGGAGGTAGCCATAGTCAAAACGCAGGTTAGCAAGAATGTTTCTTGAGATTGCCCTCTGTAGCAGAGATAAATTAACATTATTGAACCAACTGGCAGGGGTGATTTTAAAGATGTTGCCAATGCATGCCCTATCTGCCAATGACATGTTCTAGAAAGACTATATAAGTAGGACATGGACAGGAGCAAGAGTTTCCAGGCTTTGTGAATATCTTGAAAACCTATGAGTATGTTCTGGTTATTTCTGTTTATTCTCAGGATGGATTGAGGCTTTTCTTGCTGGAGAAGTATGAATATACTGGTGGAGAAAAATTACTTGATTTTAAAATTCCAAATGTTGGTGGGTAGGGGTGTCTCAACTTATCTCTCTAATAATGGAGACATATATTTCATTGGTGCCATTATTTTTTAAGATTCATTTCACTCATAAAATACACTGTCATTCACTATCTTCAGGAAAAATTAAAAGAACTAAATGAATTCGAAATTTCATTATTATCAAAACTTTCAGAAACCCAGAGGTTTGCCATTTCCCTTGATAGAATAAGACCAGTTCCCCCCAGGACACACAAGTTAGCTCCTTTTGAGTTAAGTGCCTCATGCATTTGAAATGACTTCAAATCCTAGATAAACTTGTATGACTGATTTCTGCAAGGACTCCTTTATCATGCATTCTATATGAGCTCCACTTCCTGGAGAGAGAGAACAGTGCTGTAAGTGAGGGATCTAAAATTTGTCTCTAACCTCAGCCGGCATCATAAATGACACAACTTTTGCTCAGAAGCCCAACAACCAATTTAAATTAAATACCTCCAGATTTATTACCAGTAAGTACAAGCTGTTCTCAAGGTTCATCTACATTGCCATGTATGTCAGAATTTTCTTCCTTTTAAATGCCGAATCATATTCCATTGTATGTATATACTGTATTTTGTTTATTCATTCATCTGTCAGTGGAGAGTTGGGCTGCTTCCACCCTTTAGCTCTTGTGAATAATACTGTGAACACGGGTAAACAAATTATCTTAGAGATCTTGCTTTCAATTCTCTGGGGGTATATACTCAAAATGCCATTGCTGGGTCATATGGTATTTCTTTTCAAAATTTTTCCAAGAGCCACCATTCTGTTTTCCACAGTGGCTGTACCATTTGACATTCCTACCACAGTGCAAAAGGGTTCCAATTTCTCCACAGCCTTGCCAACATTTGTTATCCCCCATCTTTTTTTAAATAGTAGACATCCGAACAGGTGTGAGGTAGTATCTACTTGTGGTTTTGGTTTGTATTTCCCTAATGATTAGTGATATTGAGAAGTTTTTCTTGTGTTGTTGATCATTTGTATATCTTCTTTGGAGAAATTTTTTTCTCATTTTTTTAATCAGGTTGATTTTTTGTTGTTGCTGAGTTATAATTCTTTATATATTCTAGCTATTAACTCCTTAGCAGATAACATGATTTGCAGATACTACCTCCCATTCCATGGATTGTCTTTTCACTCTGCTGATTGTATTCTTTGATACAGGTAAGTTTTAAACTTTGATATAGTCTAACTTTCCTATTTTTTTCTTTTGTTGCTTATGCTTTTGATGCCATAGAAGAAATCATTGCCAAAAGCAATGTCATGGAGCTTTTCCTTGACGTTTTCTTCTAAGATTTTTAGAACATCGCTCTTACATTTAGTTCTTTGCTGCATTTTGAATTAACTTTTAGCATGCAGATATCCAGTTTTCCCAGCAGTTTGTTGAACAGACTAGCTTTTCCTTATTGAATAGTCTTGGCACCCTTGTTGAATATCATTTGGTCATATATGAGAGGGTTTTATTTTATAAAATCTGGGGTTGGTGTAGTACAGAAATGATATGGGCTCTGCCCTACTAGGGAAGCCTCAGGAGAGTGGAATATTCAGATTCTGTCTCAAACAGCATTTGTCCATTGCTAGTTGTGTGCTCAGTGGGCACTGGGCTCATGTTTTCCCGTACTTTGCCCTTAAGCTTCCCATCCACTGAGATAGGTAAGATGATTCCCTTTAACAGAAGAGCAAACTCAAAGTCTCCCAGAAGAACACAGTTATGGTTTATGCAATTGCAGGGGCAGTTCAGATTCAAACCCAAGTTCCCTGGCTCCATGTGTCCTGCCCTGCTATTTCAGGTAAGATGGACCTCAGTTTTCCTATCTCGAAAATGTGAGCATGGTGGGGGGACTCGATAATCAAGGGTGAATGTAGTAACCACATTGTTTTTCTTGTGAAGCCTTCATAAGATTGTATATCAATGATACCTTAATAAAAATAAATTGATTTTTAAAAAATGTGAGAAGTGAAATGAGATGGTCGCTATTGAGCAGCCTTGTAGCTGTAGGTCCCTATGCATCAAGAGATAGCTAAAAGCGGGGGGCTAAGCGTGAGGTTAAAAACATTGGCCTTATAGAGAACAATGACTTCCTGCTACGAACCCCAGGCCAGGTGGCCAAGTCCCAGGGCTGAAGCACCGCCCCTGGGCGTACCCCAGAGCCTCACCCGGAACCTGGGCGCGGCTGGGCTGTGCGATTGGTGCGGGTGGGGACGAGCAACAGAAAAATGCCTGCGACGCTATTCTTGTTGAAATGCCCCCACGTGGTCGCCGGAAGGAGAGTTTACAGTTCTAACAACATCTCTAGAATTAGCTCAGTTGCCTCTCTCACTTTTATTCACCTCCCGCATAATTATTTCTCCTCTTTGCCCCTTCATTGGCTTCTTCTTGGTACGCCCCCACCATGACATGAGAGGCAAGGCAGCCGCCCGCGTGGCCACTCCGCACGCGAATCCGCGTCGCCAACGGCGCTTGGGGGAGGGTTTGAGTCGGGGGAGAACGGACCCCGCCCCTTTTCGGCCCCACGCGTGACGTCGCGGGAGGCGCTGGCCTCCGCCCGGCTCTGAACGGTGAGAGTGAGCGGTGGGCGGACTCGGCGCTGCAACAGTGGGAAGGGATATATTGCGGGTGCTGAGTTCCTGCAGGAGCGGCTTCGGAGGGGAGGGGAGGCAAAGGGTCCCAGCCAGCCGCTAACCGTCGGCTCTGCGCTCCCTCTTCCTGCTTTTTCTCTTTCCAAATGTGCGGGGACGGGAGGCAGGGCAGGGGCTGAGCATCTGTGACCCTTGCATTTCCCTGGAGCCCTCCTTCTCCCCCTACCCCATGCGTTTATCTCGCCTCCCAGATGTTCCTTTTCATCAGGTTATCCCTTCTCGCGAGGGAAAGAGCCCTCCACTTGGAAGCAGGAGGCGGGTTTCAGACCTTGGCCCCACCACATCTCTGTTAAAGTCCCTGAGCCTTAATTACCCCCACAGCATTTTTCCTTTGCCTCACCTGGTTTTGAAGATAAGTATGACACAGAGAAATAGAAAACAAATGGACATTTGCTGAGTTCCTGCAAATCCAGCTACTATGGGATTTATCTGCCTGCCGCCTTTATTTCCTCATTACTTGGTGTTTTTACAACTCTCATTTCACAGATTCTTAACCTCCCAAAAGTTAACTGATTTTTCTCGTATAATCAGTGAGTGGCAGAAGAGGATTCGAACTGAAGAGTTTAGCTCCAAAGTGCAATTCTCGTCAGACACTTCCTTAGTCTACGTTAGTGGCTGGAACTGTTCAGCCAAACCCTAGCCCCAAAACAGCGGCTTTCTGAATTTCTCTCCTTGAGAGTTCTTCTCGGGTTCCTTTTTTCAGCACAGCATGCTCTTCTCTGCTTCTGCCTTGATTACTTTAGAAATGAAATGTTTGAAACATTGAGTGGTACAGGGAGGTGAACACTCAGAGCCAAGAGCTTTGGATTCTTGTCCTCTGCCACTAACTAGCTGTGTATCCTTGGGCAAGTCCCTTGTCTTCTTGGTACTTTAGCTTCCTTTTGAATAAAATGGGTAAGTGCCTTTTGACCCACAGGCTCTTGTCCATTTCCTCCTCCCTGTCCTCCAGCAGGCTCTCCGTGGAGGCCCAGATCCTGCTGCTCTCCATGGGCAGCGGCCAGGCAGGGCACAACCTGCATCTCTGTCTGGCCCACCACCCACCTCTGGTCTGTGCCACTTTGATCCTGCTGCTGCTTGGCTTCTCTGGCCTGGGCCTTGGTGGCTTCCTCCTCACCCACAGGACTGGCCTGCGCAGCCCTGACATCCCCCAGGTAAACTACTCTCCTCATCCTTCCCATGTAGGCCTGCTTGTGCTACAAATCTACTCTCACCTCTTTCCTACCTTCTTTGTACGCAGGACTGGGTCTCCTTCTTGAGATCTTTTGGCCAGCTGACCCTCTGCCCCGTGAACAGGACAGTCACAGGGAAGTGGCATGGGTCTCACGTCGTGGGCTTACTGACCACCTTGAACTTCGGAGATGGTCCAGACAGGAATAAGACCCAGACATTCCAAGCCATGGTCCTGGGTAGTCAGATGGGATTGAAAGGTGAGCTCAAGGAGGACTGTGGGCTTAGACATCAGAGCAGTAAGGGTGGGCTCTGCCTCTGACCTCACCAACTTGGTGACCTTGGGCATATCCCTGAGCCTTATACCCTGCTGTTAAAAGGACAAGTTTTTGTCTGCAAACAGGACAGTCATTGTGTAGGTTTTCTATGAATGTTTTCTGTCTCCTCTTCCAACTCTGAGTTTCTTTGATTCTATCCTTAGAGGTGTGATGAGATGGGCTAGATTTGACCTACTATTGTCTTTCATGCCTCTTCATCCCTACAGCCTTTTCTTCTTTGAGGCACCTTATTTTTTTCCTCAGGGATATCAGAGAAGCATGTTCTAAGTAAGTTGTCTTGAGTGCCTGCTAGCTGCTTAGCAAGGTTCATCCCTGTTGTAGCATGTATCAATACTTCATTCCTTTTTTATTGCTGAATAACATACATTATATGAATATCCCACATTTATCCATTTGTCAGCTGATGGACATTTGGATTGTTTCTACTTTTTGGCTATTATGAATGATACTGCTTTGAAACTCATGTACAAGTTTTTGTGTGATCAGATGTTTTCGTTTGTCTTAGGTATATACTTAGGAGTGGAATTTCAGGATCATACTATAACTGTATGTTTAATCCTTTGAGGAACTGCCAGACTGTTCTCCAAAGTGGTTGTATGAGTTTATATTCCCATGATCAGTGTGTAAAGGTTCCAATTTCTCCACATGCTCACCATTTGTTATTATCTGTGTTTTTCATTATAGCCATTCTAGTGAGTGTGAAGTAGTATCTCATTGAGGTTCTGATTTGCATTTTCCAGGTAGCTAATGATATTGAACATTTTTTCATGTGCTTTTTGTCCATTTGTAGTGTTTTCTTTGGAGAAATGTATATTTAGCGTCTGCACATTTTTTAAATGGGGGTAATTTGTCTTTTAATTATGAATTGTAAGAGTTCTTTTATTTTCTAGGTAAAAATCACTTATCTGATGTATGATTTGCAGATACTTTCTCCCATTCACTGGTTGTCTCTTCACTTTATTGATGGTATTGTTCATAACACAAGTGTTTAATTTTGATGAAGCCAAGTTTATCTATTTTTTTCTATTGTTGCCTGTGCTTTTAATGTCATATCTAAGAAGACTCTACCAAACCCATGGTCGCCAAGATTACTCCTCTACTTTCTTCTAAGAATTTTATAGTTTTAGCTCATACATTTAGGTCTATGATCCATTTTTGTTAATATTTTAATATAATGTGAGGGGTCCAACTTCCTTAGTTTGCAGGTTGTCCTAGCATATTTTATAGAAAAGATTATTCTTTCATAATAGAATAGTCTTGGCATCCTAATTGAAAATCAGTTGACCATGGATATTTAGGTTTATGTCTGGACTCTCAGTTCTAGTCCGTTGATCTCTTTATGCTAGTACCACATTGTTTTTATTGCTGTAGCTTTGTTAAGTTTTGAAATCAGAAAATGTGAATTCTTCACTTTTGTTCTTTTTTAAGATTGTTTGATCCCTTGAATTTCCATTATCTTTAGGATCATATTTTTAGCTTGTTGATTTCTGCTTCTGCAAATAAGCTCTATTCTTTTTATAATGGTTAGAAACAAAATAGAAAATAATCGTGTATGACTGCATTACTGAGCATCTACTATGTACCAAGCATGGTGAATAGAGATGTGTAAAACATGCCTCACCTCATGTTGCTCACAGTCTAGCAAGGATACAGATGTGAACAGAATTAAATACCTTTTAATGTGTAAAATAGAACACAAAGTACAGTGGGAGTACTCAGAAGTCTGTCAAGCAGGGATGGCCAAGACAAGACAGACTTTTCTAAGGATGTTGTGCCTTGAGGGATTTTAGGATTGTGCCCTTCCAGCTAGAGGGAAAAGCATATGCAAAGGTATGCAGTTTGGGACCATAATGGCATGTTTTGGAACATCAAGGGGGTTGGTTTGACTGGTGTACAGGAAGGAGTGTTGAGTGAGTGGCAGGAGATGGACCTGAGGAAGCAGGCAGAATTGCATGGAGGGTCTCATGTGCCAAGCCAAGGTAGTTGTACTTTAGCCAGTACATTAGGCAAACTCAAATATTTTAATTAGGAAGAGAGTAGTATTTTGTTGTTGTTCTTGTAAAAAGATCACACTCTGTTGGCTTACTTCCTGAAAGAAATATATCCAGTTGCAGGAAGACCAGTTAGGAGGTGGTTGCAATAAAAAAATGAGGAAAAATGAGTTAAGACAATGCTTGAATAGAAGGAGACTGATTGAGATGTTGGACTTGGTGACTGATGTGATCTGGGGAACTTAGAAGTGAGGGGAGTTCTCTTATAGTTTTATATGTATGTTCCTCAGTTTTAATTATTTAATACTTACAAATTATTTGTATTTCTCTTTTTTCGCTTATAACGTCATGTTTTTTGTATTACTACATGGTCTGAAGTTATTATCTTAATGGATATAAGGCAATGCATTGCTAGGCCATCATTTGTTAATGCTTTCCCTATTGTTAAATGTTTCCAATTTTTGGTATTTTTAATGGACTAACAATAAACATCTTGATATCCTTGATTTTTCTTTTGAAGCTTTTCCTTAGGATTAGTTTCTATAAGTGGTATACTGAGTCCAAGGGTGTGGATTTTTTTAATAGACAGATTCACTTTGTTGTACATTCAGACCACATAGAAATATACAAAACAAACGTAAAAGTCCTCTTCACCTCCCCTGAAGAGTGCACAGTTTGATGGGCATCCTCTTATCCTTCTCTGTTCCTATTTAAAATCGCTACAAATACAGCCAAATTGTCTTCTAAAAGGTGTCACCAATTAAGAGTGCCTATTTCCCTACATCTTCAACAACTCTTATTATTATCAATCTTCTAAGTTTTTATCAATTTAATTGTAAGGGAATTACCTGACTGTCTTAATTTACTTAAACCTGATTGCTAGTGAGGTTGAACATCTTATTGGCCATTTTCATGCCTCTTGCAAATTTCCTATTCATACCCTGTGCTCGTTTTTCTTTTAAGTTATTTGCTTTTATCTTCTTTATTTTTAGATTTTTATACATTGTGGACACCTTTTGTCAATTAAATATATTACAGGTATTTTCAACTAATCTGTTACTTTCTTTTCTACTTATCTTTCATTATGACATTTCATCCTTTAATTTTCCTGAGGTTAACTTTATTGCTGTTGTCCTTTTTACTCAGGCTTTTAGGTTTTGTATCTTTTTTAGGAAGGCCTTCCCCATTTTAAAATTAGAAAATATTCTTCTGTATTTCCTTTGGTTTTTGTTTGGTTTTGTTTTTTCATGTAGGTGTTTAATACATCTGGGCTTTATTTTATGGTGTGAGATAAGAATCTAACTTTTTTTTTCCAAATGGAAATTGTCCCAAGGTCATTGACTGAATAGGCAGGCCATCTTTTCCCCACTAATTTGAAATGGGGTGTGAACCTTTTAATGGATTTTGGTACCTGTGGAAAACTGCTTTCTTAAAAGGACAAACTAGTTTATACAAACTGATATTGGCAATGTGTATCTGCTCCAGTTTCACTCCAGCCTTGCAAGTATTGGTGTAATTGTTATTGATTGTAAGCTAACTTAAATTAATTTGTGTTTATAGCAGTAAACAGTTATTTTCATTTCTCAGTGATGTAAATGGTTGTGTGTAGAGTACTTTATTAAGTAGAATCGATGCCAAAACACTTGGTACTGTAGGAAGCCTTAGAAATGAATAGAAATCTAAAGGTGAATGGCTCCCAACCCACCCTTAATTTTCTTCCATCACTCTCCTATTCCTCTCATAGGATCTCCTGCAGGAGAGCTGGTCCTTATTACAGCCAGGGTGACCACAGAAAAGACCCCAGGAACCTGTCTGTATTTTAGTTCTGTTCTAGGAATCCTGCCATCAAGCCAACCACCCATATCCTGCTCAGAGGAGGGAGCAGGAAATGCCACCTTGAGCCCTAGGATGGCTGAGGAATGTATCAGAGTGTGGAGCCACGAAGGCCTTGTGCTTACCAAGCTGCTCACCTCGGTAAGAGCCTCCAGTTGTTGGGGTTTCATAGAATGCTATACTAAATGGGATGTCTTGAGGCTCCTGAAGGCCATTTACCTAGTAGAAAAAACACAGGCTTTGTAATTCAGAGGCTGTGTGAGACCTTGAACAAATACCAGCCTTTCTGAGCCTCAGCCTCCTTATCTGTAAAATGGAAACATACTATCTCTTAATTCCAACAAAAAAGATAAATGAGAGTGAATGTGAAGTGTCCAGTACAATACCTGGTACATAGTGGAAATTGGGTAAATGACAGCTATTACTATGAACTATTGTCTTTAAATATAATAAAACATGATCTCCACCACAAAGGAATTCAGAAGCTATAATAAGAGACAGAATGAGTTAATTGCTATCGTAGAGATGTGAGCAAAGTGTTACTCAAACATTATTAGAATAAGGAGCAGTTAACCCTAACTTGAACATTTATGGAGAATGCTTCACAGAGAATTTAAGAAAGGGACTTGTGTACAGTACTTTATAATGTACAAAGTGCTTTCAGGTTCATTATCTCATTTGATCTTAAAATAACCTTTTGAGGTAGCTGTTAGTATCCCATTTTACAGATGAGAAAACAGGCTTAGAGAGAGGGAGTAAATTGCCCATGGCCACACAGCTGGTTAAGTGGCAGATTTAGGATTGCAACCTGTGCCTTCTGCCTTCTGATTCTATGTCCCAGGCTTGTTCTGCCCTATCAGGATGATCTGTGAAGAGTGAGAGAAATTTGGGCAGAGAGTGCAGTACAGCAGGTTCAGGAGAGGCTTCAGAGAGGCAAAAGCAACAGCATGAGCATAGGCCTAAAGATTGAAAAATGTTCAGTATTCAGGGCACTCCACAGTGAGGAGCTTAGTATTTGACTTAGGAGGAAATCAGGAGAGATACAGGGGCCTGATTGTGAGGCACCATGATGTCAGGCTAAGATGCTACAACTTGACACTGTAGGCCAGGTGAAAGAGATTGGTCTAGTGGAGGAGAGAGACTATTTAGGAGACTGCTGCATATTCTTTCTTCACATTTGCGAAGACCCTGGTGAGGAGCATCACCTTGGAGCTTGAAATCAGAGAAGATACTGGTTTCCAGATCTGACTCTGCTTGAACATCTCTAAAATGTGAAGATTAGTGAACTCTCCTATCTCATGGAGTCATAATGGGGGTTCAGTTTGATTTTGGGACAGGAAGTGGTTTGTAGACCATTGAGACAATTAGCTTGTTAAAAAATAACATTTTCCCTTTAGTTGCTCCCTGGATGTGGAGACCTCTCTCCCCGATAGAGGCTCTTGGGCTGTGCTAAGCTATCTTTTTCCCAAAGGAAGATTCTCCACCCTTCCTCTCTCATTGCTTCCTCCTTCCCTCCCTGTTCCCACCGCTAGGAGGAGCTGGCTCTGTGTGGCTCCAGGCTTCTGATTTTGGGCTCCTTCCTGCTTCTCTTCTGTGGCCTTCTCTGCTGTCTCACTGCTGTGTGCTTTCACCCACGCCGGGAATCCCACTGGTCTAGAACCCGGCTTTGAGAGCACTGGCCTAGTTCCTGTCATGTTCTCAGGTAAGGTTATTTGCCTCAGTCCTGTCAGACTAGGGGATGGAGTGGGGATGACAGTTGTAACTGAGATGGAGTCATTCCTAAACAATATGGTTTGGTTTTACTTACTTTGAACTTTGTATAGATAGAATCATACATATTCTTTTGTGACTGACTTCTTTACCTTAACATTCTAAGGTTCATCCATAGCTGTAGTTCACATCCAAGCTTTTTGGCAACAGTGGTGAGTTAAGAGGATTCAAATATGATGACGTGACTTTGATATGAATCATGGTTGTCTTGCTTTTGTCCTGAAATTCTGATACCCAGTTTTATGATGCAAATTTTGTAAAACTCATCTTGAACAGCTCAGAAGAATTGATTGATGATGCCTATTTACTGGGCATGGACTATGTACCCTGCACTTTACATGCACCTTCCCTTTTCCATTAGCCATCATTGCATTTAGAAAAAGTTGATTCTGTAAAAGGATCTTTGGAGGAACAGCTCACACAGCAGTTGGTAGAGGACTTATTTAGTTTGTGGGGCAGCTTGTTAAGGGGAAAAAATATTTCTGTAAAAAATTCTCACCCTACCAGGTGGGTCTCATATAATTTGAGAGTCATATATTGTGCTCCAGCTTTTAAACAGTTCTCAGCTTCAGCTGGCTGCTGTGTCCTTGGAAATAACTGTGGGATCAGTGGAAACAGCCCAGGCATAGGGAAGGGCACTGACCAGAGAACTACATGCTCAAGATCAACTTTGCTTATTTTGGTTAAAGCTAGGTCTGACTGCTCCAACCACCTGCTTGGGACAGAAAATGGTGGAATGCTCTCAGCCTTTCTTAGATCTGAGTGGACTGGGAAAGGAAGGCCTTCTGGCCCCTGGCAGATCTTGGAGTCCTGACGCCATACTAATGGGGACAAACGCCCATACTTATCTCTAGTTGTCACTTCCTCTGCTCCTTCCTCAATTTCTGCAACCATCCCAGAGCTAACCACAAAGGCCCTCTGACCTGCCCTGTTTTCTAATTTTCTTTCTTTCCAGGTGTGAATCAACTCCTGGGGCCTTGGTTCTGAGTTGGACAAGATGTTGCAAAAAGTGGAGAGCTGGAATGTGGGGGAAAATAAAAGGCTTTCTGCCCAGTGTTGCCCAGGGTGTTTACTAAGGATTGAATTGAGTTGGGAATTTTAGAGTAGACAGGCTCAGGAGGTTTGGGGAACATTTCCTTGTTGACTCTTTAGTACACAGGTTGGCATGGGGCATGGGTTACAGTCAACCCTTCCCACACTTGTGACTTGGCTTTGGAAAACACCTGGTTTTGATCCCAGCTGCGCCACTTTGTTTTCTTCTATGAAATAAAATCGATTAATTCCAACTAATTGAGAGTCAGGTGGCAATGGTCATGGGAATGCTTTAAGGTGAATGCAGTGTGACCTTGGATAGGTCAAACTAGCAAAAGGCCCCAGTTCCCTGAAGGGATTTGACAGATTGATTTTTCCCAGCAGATTCGTCAAACGTGATAGTCGCCATCCACACGGTACGGTTACTAACTAGGGCAGTCCATTTTCCCGCCTTTTCCGCGCCCAGCAGCAGCTTTTCCTTACCCCTCCCAACCTCTGTCGTGCACGCAGGCGCAAATCGCGGCTGCTGCTTTCCTTCCACTCGCGCCCCTCGAAAGCTTCCCCTAGCAACAAGCTCGGGCTCAGCGCTAAGGCGGGGCGAGCGCATGCGCCGCAGCCCTGTCCACCGCCAGTTGGACTGAGCGCCCGGCTCCTCCCACTCCAAGCCTAGCCCTTCTCCCCGCCTCCTCCCACCAAGGGTCCGCGTGGCGCGGCGCGCGCGCACTCTGGCTCGTTGGCTTCCCACCTCCCTGGCCCCGGCAGTAAGGAGAGGGGCGGGGCCACTTTATTTTGGGGCTCCGCCCCCTTGGCCTGGCGTCCCTACCGCGCTTGCGCTTTTCCGCCCGGTCTCCATCTTGGAATTGGGAGGAAGAGGGAGAGGGAGATCGGGACAAGACGCGCGCTGTCGTGCGGAGAGAGACAGGCTGAGAAAAAGGGAGAGCGAGCGTGGGGACCTCCGTTAGCTACAGTCTTTCAGCAACCTTTAGGAGAGAAAAGGGGAAAAGGAGGAGGCCGGGGCGGGAGTGGGTGCTGTCATTCTCGGACCCGGCGTGAGAGGGGCCGTGCGGCCGGACGTCCTCCGGGTGGGCCCCCTATCGGTGCCCAAACACCTGGAGCTCAGGCTATTCGGTCCCAAATTTCCGGGCTTGACCCCTCGCTTCTCAAATACCCGGATATCGGCCATTCAGAATCCAGATATACCGGACGTGGGTCCCAACCTCTTTAGACCTGGGGTTCTGTTTCATAGGATTTCAGATATCCGGGGTTCATACCCCACGCGTTCAAATATCAAGTTCAGGCTCCCCCCCCCGTCCAAATATCTGGGGTTCACACCCTACAATCAGAAATCTGAGATTCAGCAACTGTCGCCCTCGAGGAGGAGGAGGAGGACTGGACCGCGAAGTCAGATCAGGTTGTCACCCCCTCCCCTCCAGGGGAGGCTTCCCGGGCCCGCCCCTCAGGAAGGGCAAAAGCCGAGGAAGAGGTGGCAAGGGGAAAGGTCTCCTTGCCCCTCTCCCAGCTTGGCAGAGTCGCTGGAGGACCCCAGGAGGAGGCGGAGGCGCTGGGGCACCATAGTGACTCCTACCAGGTGAGACACGGGGTGCAGAGGCGCGGGTCCCTGTGTCCAGCAATTAAAAGAATGGGTGCACCTTTCTGAGAAACGTCCTGGTTAGGCCTCCTTAGGATGGGGAAGCCCAGCTGGGCCAGTGGTCCGCCCGGCTAGCCTTGCCTTCTGCTGCCACCCTCTTCCCCTTTCTTTTCCCTTCATTATGTTTGTTTGATGCGGGACCTCAGATGATAGGGTCTTTGATATCACCAGGGGTCACATCCTAGGGTGCTCGAGCTAATCAGATGAGTTTGCACCCTTCTGGTCTTCTCCCCTGTTGACTTTGCCCTACACAGCTATCTTGTCTCTATGATTATACACCTTTCTCCTGATGGCTTTGAAGTGATTTCCATACCTCTTCTGCCCTTGGTGGGTCTGCTTTTCTGTTTTTTTTAGGCATGGTCTGGTTAGGATTTTCTGTCCTTTCAAGGAAATGCGTATGTGTGTGTTGTGTGTATGCATTTGTGTCTGGGGCTGTCTGGCAGTATTTTCACCCAGCCATATAGTTACCTTCTAATCTCTTGGAGCGATGGTATAAATAATTTCATACATTTGTCAAGTCATCTGTTATTGTATTACAAAGTACTTTATATCCATTCTCTCATGAGTCCTCTCCTCACTCCATTCACCTCTTTTATTGTTGTCTTTCCACTTTACAGTTGAGAGTATTGAGGCCCAGAGAGGTTGACCAAGGTCACACAGTGGCAGAATCAGGATTTGAACCCAGGCCCTGGATCAAGTCTTGCCTCTGCACCACACATGTTTCTTGCCATCTCATTCTCCCATCCAAGTACTAATCAGGCCTGACCCTGCTTAGCTTCCAAGATCAGATGAGATAGGGTGCGTTCAGGGTGGTATGGCCATAGGCTCTTGCTATCTCATTCTGTACCTGGGTTTGGCCAGGGGTCCAGAGGAGAATGAGTTGGGGTGAGATTTAAGAATGGAAGGGAGAAGAGCTTCCTTTTTAGGAGGGCTATACTCAGAAGCTTTTCCTGATGGGAGGCTCTGACTGTTGTCTTCTGCTTCATGGATTTTTCTCTTTACTGTGACCTTCATCTTTACCCTGATCCCAGTCTTTAGCCTGGGTTCCTAAGAGGGGCTCTAACTTCTGACAGATGATAGCCATAGTGGTGGTGTCCCTTAACAGTTAAAGCCAAGTTGCTGGGGTGGGATGATCCTCAAAGTATTAAATCCTTGCTGTGGCGACCCTGGAGGCAGAGAAGGAAAACTCCATATGCTGAGTGTCTGCATAGTGTTCCTAAGTATGAGATCTCATTAAAATCTCATAACAGCCCTATGCTATAACCCACTGTACCAAAGAGAAGACCAAGTATAAAGAACTCAAAGCCCTGTTACTGACCATTGCAGATGAACTGTGCTGGTAATGCAGCTTAGGGACAGACAAACTTGGGTTTCCTTATCTGCAGAATGGAAATAACATGTCTGTTTTAGAAGGTGGTTATGATTTAGCACAGACCTTGGTAATTGCTCAGATGTTTGCTGTTTTATATGTGGCCTCCTGTCCTTGGTTGGCATTCTTGCTTTGTGCTGGTAAAGAGGTCAAGAGGATTCCTTTGGCAAGTTGTGAGCACCTGCCCTTGTGTGTGGGTGTGTGGTAGAGGTGAGGGGTGCTTGGCAGAGTTGCTAGCAGCAGAATGAAGAAAAGGGCCTGCTTTGAGAGCCTGGGAGCTGCTCATGGCAATCACTCACTCTCCCAGGCTATTCTGAGCCCTCTGCACTGGAGAATCAGGTCTGCTCCTTGCCCTTCAGTTTCCAGTTGGACTGAGGAGACAAAACTAACAACACAACAGGAAACAGTGCATAACAGAATATAATTACATGCTAAATTGTTAGGTGCTTTTAAGGAGCTAGAACTCTGCCTTGGGAGTCCAGCTTGGTTGAAGGTTCCTTTGTGCTAAATTCCAACAAGTGCTTAGCCAGGAGCCTGGCCTGGAGTCCCCTTGGGTTCTTGGCTCAGATGTACTGCGGGAGCTTTCTCTGGGTGTTTGGCTGGTGCTCTAGGAGCTCTTCCCAAGTGCTGGTGTGATCAGGAGAGGCTTTCTGCAGGAGGGATTTGAGCTTGGGGTGAGTTGCTGAGAGAGTAATGAACACAGAGGCCTGATTGGAGCTTCCCTTCTGTGCCTCAGTGACTTCATCTGTGAATTGGTGATCATGATCCTGCCCTGCTTATTTCATTGGGCTGATTTGAAAGCATAGTAGTAGAGGACCAGCTTTGGGCAAGTCACTTAACTTTTCTGAGCCTATTTCTTCATCTGCAAAATAAGGGTAATAGTAACTTCCTAAGTTTGTGGTGAGCATTTAATGAGAGAGAATGCATATGAGGTGCTTTCTATATATACTCAGTAAATGATATTTGTATGTCACAAATGTCCCGTACCTATGCATGCCGCGTATGGACTGGACAAGTAAGACAGCCTAGGTCACGGAGAGGCCTCCAAAGCCAGATACCATTTCTATTCCTGTCCTTCCCCTTCTAGGTCTCCTCCCTTCCACTGTATCCCAAGCCCTTTTTGAGAGCAAGTCTCTGGCCCCTCTGGACCAGTACCCACTTCTAACAATGGCCGGATTTCCACTGCCTCGCCTGGCCATTTCCTGCTCTCTTTCAGGGTGTGAGAGGTTGAGGGAGGAGGGGGCCTCGACGCCAAGGGGAACAGGAAGGTGCCTGGTTATATTTGGGGTATGGGACTTGTAGGACAGGACTGTTGGGGATCTGGGGTTCTGGCTGAAAGGTAGGTTCTTTTATTCCTGGAAAAGAAGTAAATGTAGGGAAATGGAACTTCTTGAGGGCTGAGGGGAATGGTGAGGATGAATGCTTAGCTCTCAAGCTTTCTAGCAGTTTTAGGGACTTCAGGGACTTGACCCCTGTGCTCTGGTTACCAGGGTAACTTCATTTTTTTGGAGCTTTGATGTTGTTCCTAATCTCCTCTGGCCCTTCCTCAGCAGTGCCTCCCCTCATCAGGGAACTAGGGGAGGAGAAGGTAGAAACTTGAGGAGCCCTTTCCTTTCTCTGAGAGCCCCATCCTTGCTCTAAGGGTTGCATCTTCATTCTCCAGGTCAGGCCCCACTCTCAGGGCCCCCAGGGGCCACCATGCCAGCGGGGGGCCGGGCTGGGAGCCTGAAGGACCCTGATGTGGCTGAGCTCTTCTTTAAGGATGACCCTGAAAAGCTCTTCTCTGACCTCCGGGAAATTGGCCATGGCAGCTTTGGAGCCGTGTACTTTGTGAGTTGGGGCTTGGGAGGGTAGGATGGAGACTGTATTCTTCCCCCCATGGACCTCCACAAACAGCCCCCTAAACTACTCTTGCCACACAAGCCTTTCCTGCTGTCTCCTACTGGGTCAGTAAGTTTTTCCACTGCCATTTCTTACCGGGGACCTTTACCACCTTCTGGTCCTCTAGGCCCGGGATGTCCGGAATAGTGAGGTGGTGGCCATCAAGAAGATGTCGTACAGTGGGAAGCAGTCAAATGAGGTGGGTCAGGCTTGACAAGACCAGGTCGGGGCAGGGGACTACAGTCTCAAGATGCAAGTTGAGTAAGCCTCTCTCCATCCCTGACCTCCCAGAAGTGGCAGGACATCATCAAGGAGGTGCGGTTCCTACAGAAACTCCGACATCCCAATACCATTCAGTACCGGGGCTGTTACCTGAGGGAGCACACAGCTTGGGTGAGCTGGCTCCCTGACTCTGGCCTGATCTTTGTTCCCACTCAGGCCCATCCTTATCCTGGTCTAGTCTCTTGGGTGGACCCTGTTCAGGGTGCTGTTTTGGGGATCTTGGGAAGGAGAAGGTCTTTCCTAACCTTTTTAGTCCTCAAACTCATGAGCAGTAGCATCTATCCAGAAGCAGAGGCTGGTTAGGAGTCGGACATAGACTGTTAGCAGTTGGAAAGGAACATAGGGGTTGGAGGAGATGGAGATTGAATTGGGCTATGAAGGGATTCAGATGGGAGTGGTGGAGTCTTGTACTCTTTCTAGGGTAGGTCCTGAATCTCAGGATTCTCCCACCATCCACCTGGTTTACTCAGTTGCCCTTCCTCCCTACTATTACCCCTGGGGCATTTCCTGAATGAAGATAGGCAAGAAAGCTCTCTGCTTTGTATCTCTGCCCAAGGAAAATGGGCCAGGGGTGGCCAGATCTGCTGATCTCTGACCCTTGACCTTTCCTTAGCTGGTGATGGAGTATTGCCTGGGCTCAGCTTCTGACCTTCTAGAAGGTAAGTGACTCTTTGGCCAGTAACTGAGAGAAGGGAGAAGAGCAGAGAAGCCTAGAGGAAGGGTTCAGGGGAGCTTTTTCCCATCCCACCATTGGTCTCTCCGTCAGTTTAGTGTTTTTCCATCACTCCTCAGTGCACAAGAAGCCCCTTCAGGAGGTGGAGATTGCAGCTGTGACACATGGGGCCCTTCAGGGCCTGGCTTATCTGCACTCCCACAACATGATCCATAGGTACAAGCAGCACTGACGAGGGCTGGGAGGGTGCTTTCTACCCCACTCCTCATTCAACTGGGCTACAGCCTTCTCGGCAACTTTGTGCTAAAGCCCCTGCCCAGCCTTCCTGTGACTCTTGTCTTATCCCTGTGCTTTGTGTCTGGCAGGGATGTGAAGGCTGGAAACATCCTGCTTTCAGAGCCAGGCTTGGTGAAGCTGGGGGACTTCGGCTCTGCATCTATCATGGCACCCGCCAACTCCTTTGTGGGCACCCCGTACTGGTGAGTGGGAGTGGTGGTGAGTGGAGAGAGCTCCCAGGATATCAGGAGCGGGAGTTGGCAGGGTCTGGGCAGGTGATTAACCTTTTTCTCTTGACCATTCTCCAAGGATGGCTCCAGAAGTGATCCTGGCGATGGATGAAGGGCAGTATGATGGCAAGGTGGATGTCTGGTCCTTGGGGATAACCTGCATTGAATTGGGTAAGGACGTCATCCTCTTTTCACTCCACTCTTTTCTGTTTCACTTACTATCCCCATCTCATCCATCCTCCAAGGCCTCCAAGCTCCTTTCCATTTTGATTCTACCCTTCATCCAATTAAGGCTGCTGTCAAATCTTGCAAGGTTTTAGACCTAAAGATTTTGTAACATTTATCTCTTCTGTCCACTACTCTACTTGTAAATCTTTTTTGAGTGCCCGCTAAGTGTCATGTGCTATACTAGTAGGTTCTGGGAACAGCAGTGAATGAGGTTCCTGCTCTCATCGAACTTAACATTCAAGTTGAAGAAACAAGCATATTTTCACTCAATGTGATAAAAGCTGAATGGAAAAGTTACAGGTGTAATACTATCGCCAAAAAAGGGACTTGACCTAATTCAGGGCCTGAGAAAGGTCTCCTTGTACCAGAGATGTCTAAACAGAACCTTAAGACAAATACAGCTGTTTGAGGACTGTAGGGACAAGCATTCCAGACAGTAAGAGCAGGCATAGAGAGCTGAAACTAGTTTCATTTTTTTGTCATATTGCATGTAATGCAGTGCAAAGAGCAGTGAGAGGTAAGGCCTGAGAGTTAGGCTTAAGTGAGTTCATGAGACCTTGAAGCCATGTCAAGGTTCTCATCTCTGCCAGCCTACACTATTGAAGCAGTTGGTAGGTCCAACACAGTGCCAGGCACAGAAAAGTTGACCAAGAAAGAGACGCTGTTAGCTACTCGTACCAACAACCTGCGGTGATCTTTCCTACCACCAGGCTCTTTTTCCTTCCAATCTCTCATGTCAGGGAGAGCTGCCCAAGCTCAGTGCTGTTGTTTCAGAGAAATCAGTGGCTCCCCATGGCTTTCAGGACTGAAGCCATCCTTATCCTTCCATACACCAAGCTAAAGGTTCTCCTTCCTAAGGCTGGCTTTCCCCTTCATGACCTCCACCCTGGAGTGTGCCATTAACCTTTTCACTTTCTTGCCTTGGTTTGTATTGTGTCCTTTGCCCGAGATCAGATACTTGACATGCCCTTTCTGTCTGTCTTCACATGTCTACATTTCCCATTTGAGGCTAAGGCCAGACGGGTGATGCAGATATGTGAAGCAGACCAGGTATAAGAAAAATCTAGAGTTGCCCAGTATATTCCTAGTTTTTGGTAAAAACTGGATACAGAGAAATATTTCTCTACTGTTGAAAAGAATTCATCAATCCTGATTATGAATGGCAACTGACAGTACCAGAGAAGCAGTGTGGTGAAGCAAACTGGAGATTACTGTTGCTCAGCTCCAGCCCATTGTTATGCAGGAATGTAGGCTCTGTTTCACCAGATCTAATTTTTTATGGTATTGTACCACACTGCACAGATCTAATATTTGTTTGTTGGAATTTAAAAACCACTGTTCAGGCCAGAAACAACACAAAACATCTGTCTCGGCCACAATGAGCTCCTGGCTTGCAACTTCTAACCTAAGGTGTAGCCCCAATATAATCCTTAGAGTCCTGAATCCTCTGCAGGTGTACCAGCTTGAAGGTCCACCACATACTCACCTTCCCAGTCATTTACCTCTTGTGCCAATTGACATTTTGAACTTGATGTTACTTGTTCAGTCCTATTTAATCTTCCTTGTTAGACTGGAAGTTCCTCAAGGACAGGGCCTGTCTTGTTTTTCTTTATCTTCCCCATAACATTTAGCAAACTTACTGCTTTTATTTGGCACCTAATAAATATTAGTTGAGCCAATAATGTGCTTCCTTCTGTCTTTTTTGGTGCTTTTGCAAATATTATTTTCTTAGATCCCTATTCCACTGTGCGCAGGGGAGAGGATGGGTATTGCATTTTATAGAGGGATTAATTAAGATTATGGGAATTGTTCAGGGTCATGCAGCAAAAAAGTCAGGGAGCTGGGGTGTGAACCAAGTCTTCTGATTTCCATTCCAGTCTCCTCTGCCCACTTGCCAACTCTCACCTTTTCTCCCTTGATCTCTCTCTGTAGCGGAACGGAAACCACCATTGTTTAACATGAATGCGATGAGTGCCTTATACCACATTGCACAGAACGAGTCCCCCGTACTCCAGTCAGGACACTGGTGAGGGCTGGGATTCCTGGGCCCAGGGGTGAGGCAGTAGGGTGAGACTGCCTGGCTCGTGCTCTTCCCATCCCTGCCTCACTCTCCTATAACTCTAGGTCTGAATACTTCCGGAATTTTGTTGACTCCTGCCTTCAGAAAATCCCTCAAGACAGACCAACCTCAGAAGTTCTGCTGAAGGTGAGAACTCACTGGCCTAGCATTCTCCTGTTTGTTAGAGCCGCAGAAACCCCTCTATGAAATTGGTGATTCCCAATTCTTCCTTCACCAAGAACTTCATTTATGAATTCCCACCCCCATCTCCAGTGCCAGTGGACTGTTTTGTAAGATTTTATCTACCAGACTACCTTTATTTATTAAGTAATAATTTGTTTTCCCATCTTTTATTAATCAAAGATGTATGTAATTGCCAGCCAGACCTTCTGGTCAGCATGCGATAACCAGGGTTACCACACTGATCTGATGTAATTCAAGCCAAAAGCCTGTGTAGCCTTGTCATGGGTAAATGTATGATTTCCCTTAGATGTTTTTTGAGTTACTAAAAGTAGAGGGGCCCCCATTCCCTTCACAGATCCATGGTGGCCTAAGGAGTCCTCGTTGGGAACTGATGTAGATTATCTAATTTGACCTACTTGTTTTATAATTGTGGGATACCTTATGAGACCCAGAGAAGGCCTCATGAACATGTCCAGGGCCACACAGCACTTTGATAGAGGACCTGGACTAGAATTCAGTATCTTGGCTGTTCTTGTCTGTCAGCCATACTTGGAGGCAAAAAAGAGATTAGGTAATGAAAATTAATGTGGGAGGAGGGGTTGGGACAAGGCCAGCATAAACCCATAGTGGGCAAGGGCCCTAGGGGTAGTCCCTCAGGCCAGAAGGAATACCAAGACCCATGGGATGTTAGGGGGCAGGGGAGGGCTTAGCAGCAGGCCTTAGTGTTCTCTTCCCCCAGCACCGCTTTGTGCTCCGGGAACGGCCACCCACAGTCATCATGGACCTAATTCAGAGGACCAAGGATGCTGTGCGGGAGTTGGACAACCTGCAGTACCGCAAGATGAAAAAAATATTGTTCCAAGAGGCACCCAATGGCCCTGGTGCTGAGGCCCCAGAGGAGGAGGAGGTGACCCACTTTGCCCTTCCACCCTTTACCACCATGTTGTGCTTGCGTCCAAGCAGATGCTTGACCCCCCCTACTTCCCCACTCCTCTGCATACCTTCTGTCTCTTTGTGCTACCTCCATGTCCACACCCTTGTCCTTCCCCTTCCATGCCCAGCAGCCTCCGCCCTATCCACAGGAGGCAGAACCCTACATGCATCGGGCCGGGACGCTGACCAGTTTAGAGAGCAGCCACTCAGTGCCAAGCATGTCCATCAGCGCCTCCAGCCAGAGCAGCTCGGTCAACAGCCTAGCAGATGCCTCGGACAATGAAGAGGAGGAGGAGGAAGAGGAGGAAGAGGAGGAAGAGGAAGAGGAAGGCCCTGAAACCAGAGAGATGGCCATGATGCAGGAGGGGGAGCACACAGTCACCTCCCATAGCTCCATCATCCACCGGCTGCCGGTATGCAGCTCACCCTGAGTAGGCATGACAGTAGCAAGGCCAAGCCACAGCTTTCATGATCAGGAGTCACCTGGGGTCCCTGCTCTCCCTCTCGAGCATGACTTCTCCTCTAAGTCTGACCAGGTCTCCCTTTGGACCCAGTGGCCTCTGAACCTTTGTCATCCCTTTCACCTTTCCTTCCTCTAGGGCTCTGATAATCTGTATGATGACCCTTACCAGCCAGATATGACCCCAAGCCCCCTCCAGCCACCTGCAGCCCCGGCTCCCACCTCTACCACCTCTGCCCGCCGCCGGGCCTACTGCCGCAACCGGGACCACTTTGCCACTATTCGTACTGCCTCCCTGGTAAGTGCAACACCATCCTTTGGCCTGAGTGCCCCAAACTGTCTTTTTAAGACCAGAAATGAGTTTATCAGTGTCTCATGATAAATCCAGATGCCACCCTCACTTTTTGTTGCCATCTCTTGCCTTCTCCTTACCTGGACCCTCCCCTCTTCCCTTTCCTCCCTACTGACTGTTCTGGGCACACTAGATGTAGCTTAGCAAACTCATTCTGCATTTTCATGTCTGGGCTTAAATAGCATCTAGGATGCCTTCCCAGGCTCCTGGCCAGCCAGGTACTTCATACCCAGTGTGGTGGGGCTCCTAACAGCATTTTGACAGGTTTGCTGGATGCTGTGCCCCTGGAAGGCAGGGATAGTGTTCAGGGTTCTGCCTACCAGTGACTGGCTCTCAGGCTCACACATGTGCCTGTATTTAAATTCTTCTAGCTACTCTGGAGAGACTATATGATCCCATTTGAGAGATGAGGCAGCTGTGACTCAAGAGTGCTACTTGCCCAAGCACCTATAGGAGCTCTCAAATTCTGTAAGCAGTGGTCCTCTTCTAAAATCAAGTCATGAGAATGTTTTTCTCAGTTCAAAAAACAGGTAGACTTTTCATAAACCAGTTCTGTTCAACTTTTAATAAGCCTTTATTAGATTATCTTCCTGCATAGCTACAAGCACCAACAAAACTCGCAGAGGCCACTGGCCAGTCCAGTGTGTTCTGTGGCCTCTGCCTGTGACTGTTCTGCTGGGATAGTTCCACAGATCCTGGGGGCTTGGTGCTTTGAAGTGCTGTGCAGAAAGGTCTGTGACTTCCAGGGCCTTGGCCACCTGGACTAGTTTGGGCCCACTAACATAGCCCCTTTACAGTGGGACCTGAGCTCAAACCTCAGACAGGAGCATCGTGTCCCAATGTTCTTGTTATTCCAACATCTCATGGCCCAGATCCCAGCTGCAATTCCTGGGCTATAATGGGTCCTCAATGTCTGCTGAAGGAGAAGGAAACCAACATTTATTGGTTCAGAATGTTCTAAACACTACTACATATATATCAAATCTAATCTCCATAGCCCTCTACAAGGAGGTATTATTGCCCCACCCCACATAACAGATGCGGAAACTGAGCTTAGCAACATTAACTTGCTTGAGGTCATGTGGTTAGTAAGTGGCAGAGCTAGGATTTGGGCCCAGGTCTGTTTCATTTCTTTATTCTTTTTAACTAACTTGAATTGTTTCTACTTTTATGCCAGGCCTTGTGCTTGGCACCTTTTATCATCTCGTTCAATCACACTGATCTGTGAAGTAGGTTATGTCTCCGTCATCGAGTTGAGGTGGCAGGCTCAGAGAGGCTAAGTGTGAGGAAGGTACTAAATGAAAATTAAACGCATGAGTCTAAAACCCATGTTCTTCCACAGTAGAGCACAAAGACTGTGTGTATTGATAAAATGGGGGTCAGGGCTGAGACCCACTTCTCTTCCTTTCTCCTATCCCAGGTCAGCCGTCAGATCCAGGAGCATGAGCAGGACTCAGCCCTGCGGGAGCAGCTGAGTGGCTATAAGCGGATGCGACGACAGCACCAGAAACAGCTGCTTGCCTTGGAGTCCCGGCTGAGGGGGGAGCGTGAGGAGCATAGTGCACGGCTACAACGAGAACTTGAGGCACAGCGGGCTGGTTTTGGGGCTGAGGCAGAAAAGCTCTCACGGCGGCACCAGGCCATTGGTGAGAAGGAGGCACGAGCTGCCCAGGCCGAGGAGCGTAAGTTCCAGCAGCATATCCTTGGGCAGCAGAAGAAGGAGCTGGCTGCCCTGCTGGAGGCACAGAAGCGAACCTACAAACTTCGGAAGGAGCAACTAAAGGAGGTGTGCAGTAGGGCTGCAGCAGTGGGCCAAGCCATTGGGGGCTGAGGCAGGCCCTGACCTCCCTGCTCTCCCTACGGCCCTTACCCAGGAGCTCCAGGAGAACCCCAGCACACCCAAGCGAGAGAAGGCTGAGTGGCTATTGCGGCAGAAGGAGCAGCTACAGCAGTGCCAGGCAGAGGAGGAGGCAGGGCTGCTGCGGCGGCAGCGCCAGTACTTTGAGCTGCAGTGTCGCCAATACAAGCGTAAGATGCTGTTGGCTCGTCACAGCCTGGACCAGGACCTGCTGCGAGAGGTAGGTCACCCCATCCCCCATTCCCTTCCTGCATCCCCAGCATTTCCTCTTTTCCGTTTGCCTCACTGTGGTCATCTTTTCCTTCTGCCCTCATTCATGTTATGGCTCAGCTTCTCTTCAACACTGCTTTTGCTTCTCATGCCCATCAGACCCTGCTAGAGTTCCCTGAGGCTTCTATTCCCAGGCCAGCCAGGAGCTTGGTTCCTTTATACCTCTCATCTGCACCCTCAGCTTCCTCTGCCATGGGTTCCTGGGACTCTCTCACTTCCTTGACACCAACAAGGCCCACTGACTGGGCTCTGGGCCTTGCCTCCTTTCTGCCTCAGGACTTGAATAAGAAGCAGACTCAGAAGGACTTGGAGTGTGCGTTGCTGCTGCGGCAACACGAGGCCACACGGGAGCTGGAGCTACGGCAGCTCCAGGCTGTACAGCGCACACGGGCTGAGCTCACCCGCCTGCAGCACCAGACGGAGCTGGGCAACCAGCTGGAGTACAACAAGCGGCGTGAGCAAGAGTTGCGGCAGAAGCACGCAGCCCAGGTTCGCCAGCAGCCCAAGAGCCTCAAAGTACGTGCAGGCTTCCCGCTCCCCATTCCTGGGGCTCTGGGACCACCCAGCACAGGCACCCCTAGAGAAGAGCAGCCCTGCTCATCTGGCCAGGAGGCAGTCCTGGACCAAAGAATTCTGGGAGAGGAGGAAGCAGTTCCAGAGAGAAGGATTCTGGGAAAGGAAGGGGCTGCCTTAGAACCAGAAGATCAGAGGATATTGGGGGAAGAATCAGGAACCCCTAGTCCCAGTCCACCAAAACATAGGAGTTTGGTTGATGAGGAATTTTGGGGTCTACCTGATGAGATAAAGGAGCTTATAGTCCCAGCCTTGGCACCTCAGGAGAGGAGCATTGTGGGCCAGGACACCACTGAGGCATGGAGGTTGTGGGAGAAGGAGAATGGGGGCGTCCTGGATGAGGAGTTTGAGCTTGGCTGGGTCCAGGGCCAGGCATTGACCCCAGTTCCTGAGGAGGAGGAGGAAGACGAGGAGGGGGCTTCAATTAGCACCCTGAGGGATCCTGGAGATGGCTGTCCTTCACCAGACATCCCCCCTGAGCCCCCTCCGACACATCTGAGGCCTGGCCCTGCTAGCCAGCTCTCTGGACTCCTGTCCCATGGTCTGCTGGCTGGCCTGTCCTTTGCAGTGGGATCCTCCTCTGGCCTCTTGCCCCTCCTACTTCTGTTGCTGCTCCCACTGCTCGCAGCCCAGGGTGGGGGTGGCCTGCAGGCAGCATTGCTGGCCCTTGAGGTGGGGCTGGTGGGCCTGGGGGCCTCCTACCTACTTCTTTGTACAGCTCTGCACCTGCCGCCCAGTCTATTCCTACTCCTGGCCCAGGGCACTGCACTGGGGGCTGTCCTGGGTCTGAGCTGGCGTCGAGGTCTTATGGGTGTCCCTCTGGGCCTTGGGGCTGCCTGGCTCCTAGCCTGGCCAGCCCTGGCTCTACCTCTGGCAGCTATGGCAGCTGGGGGCAAATGGGTGCGGCAGCAGGGCCCCCGGATGCGCCGAGGCATTTCTCGACTCTGGTTGCGGGCTCTGCTGCACCTATCACCCATGGCCTTCCGGGCCCTACAGGGCTGTGGGGCTGTGGGGGACCGGGGCCTGTTTGCACTCTACCCCAAGACCAACAAAGATGGCTTCCGCAGCCGTCTGCCTGTCCCTGGGCCCTGGCGTAGTAATCCCCACACTGCCCGACACCCACTAGCCTTGTTGGCAAAGTTTTGGGCCCTGTGCAAGGGCTGGAACTGGCGTCTGGCACGGGCCGGCCAAGGGTTAGCCTCCTGCTTGCCTCCCTGGGCCATTCACACATTGGCCAGCTGGGGCCTGTTTCGTGGTGAACGGCCCAGCCGGATCCCTCGGCTGCTACCACGCAGCCAGCGCCAGCTAGGGCTCCCTGCCTCCAGCCAACCACCAACAGGGACTCTGGCTGGGCGGCGATCCCAAACTCGCCAGTCCCGGGCCCTGCCTCCCTGGAGGTGACCAACTCTAGCTCTTCCCCATCCAGAATCTAGAACATTGAGCACTTTATCTTCCACTACTCAGTGAAGTTTGTCCAGTCCCAATCCTTTCCTCCCTTTCACCCCTCCTTCCTCAGTATGCATCCCCACCTCACCCCAGCCCTTCAGACCTCTAAACAGGCAGCCTCCCCTACCACAGAGTCTGGAAGTCACACTTTGTGTTCTCCTGACGCTCCTCCCCAACCCTAAGTTATTGCTGTTCTCCTGCTGTGTGTGTGCTCATCCTCACCCTCATCGACTCAGGCCTGGGGCCAGGGGTGGTGGTGGGTGGAAAGAGTCATGTTTTTTTTTTCTCTCTTTGATTTTGTTTTTCTGTCTCCCTTCCAACCTGTCCCCTTTCCCCCACCAAAAAAAAGAAAAAGATAAACACAAATAAAATATCTGAGCGGAACTGTACTTTTGGCCCAGGCTGCCTCTGTCTGCTTTGTCCTGCCGCCTAGCCTCCCTGGTATGCCCACTATCTGGACCCTTGGCCCCCAATTCATAACCTCTTCACCCCCATCTACATTATCTTACCCCCTTTCACTCCTCAGCCTCATCCTCTTTGCCTTCATAGTTTTGTTGTACCATGACCACCACCAGCTCAGGGGTCTAGGCCCCTTTTGAGCTTCCACAGAACTTCTGGGTCCCACAGTTCCCATTTGTGGATGCTTTCCAGAGAGTCCTTAGATTCTGGGTCCTTTTGTCTTCATCCCTTGCCATTTTTCCCAATCCATTCCCTATGTGGTTCCCTTCTGTGTGGGAGCCAAATTTCTTTACTGGTATCAGACATTCCCTATAAGGCTGGGGGATGGGACTGCAAACCCTCCACAGTAGGGAGTGGTGAGTTTGGGGGGCCAGGCAGAGAGTGTGGGCATTGTGGAAATGGGATTGGTTGTGGGCTTGGAGTGGGAGCTAAGTGCGTTAAGGGGCTAGGCTGAAATGTGTAGTTCTGGTCAGGGTGGCAGCTGCTGGCCCATTGTACTTGTCAGGCCCTTTCTGGCCATCTCCTTTGCCCCTTTTCCCTCTGTGGCCTGAGATGGGGCCACCCCTTCTTACCCATTTCTCAGCTTGGTGCTTATCCTCCATCTCTTCTTCCCATCCTGAGGTGCTGAACCTGGGACTCCCTCTGTCTTTCCTTAGCTATGCTGCTCTCTTCCATGGGTGTTGTGTGACTTGGTTTTCTCACTTATTTTTATGCACATTCTGTATCTGCTCACATGTTTATAATCTAGTCTAGGTCCTCTTTTCCCCCTGCTTGCATGGTCAGAGCTTCTTGTGTGCATTCAGTATTCTAAAGATTCCCAGTCTTCTGTCCATGAACTTTCCTGCTGTTTCTTGTGAGTTTCCTTCCCAACTCTGTGAACATACTCTTGGAACCTGTCTTGTTTTCTTTGCATCTCTTGCCCATTGAGAATTCCTGATCTCTCTCAACACAATCCCATCTCTCCGTGTCTGTATACAGCTCTCCCCGCCCCCTCTGTCTAACATGTTTTCTGTTTCTCTCCCTCTCCCTGTCTCTGCTTCTGTCTCCTCCTCTCCTCTCTCTTCTCCCCTGGTTGTTTCTCCTCCTCCTCCTCTTCTTCCTTTTCCCTGCCCCCATCTCCCCTTGGTCCATCCACTGCATAGTCTAAGGAGCTGCAGATCAAGAAGCAGTTCCAGGAGACCTGTAAGATCCAGACTCGGCAGTACAAGGCTCTTCGGGCACACTTGTTGGAGACCACGCCCAAAGCTCAGCACAAGAGCCTCCTTAAGCGGCTCAAGGAAGAACAGACCCGCAAGCTGGCAATCCTAGCTGAGCAGTATGACCAGTCCATCTCAGAGATGCTCAGCTCACAGGCGGTGAGGCCTGGGGTCCAGGGAGGGAGTGTGGTGGAGGTTGGCCTCTGTATTTCTTGCTTAGTTAGGGGCAGTGGGTGTGGACAGAAATGGGGCTTTTGTTCTTGGGAAATTCAGGTAACTCCCAGTAATGTTCTTTGCAATAGTCTTACTACCTCTCTAGTATTTTCTTAAGGTCTTGACAAAGCCAACCCACCTATTCTGTCAAGAATCACCAAGGGAAGAGTGGCTGTAATTTTTTCCTGGGCCTGATTTATTTAATGTGTGAACAGGGAGCAAATAAAAATGGTTGTGGCCCTCAGGCCAATTTACTCAAACTTCTGGAGGATTGTGAAGGTTGCTGTTCTAAAAGTGACCACATGTGACACTGGAATGGGCCACTTAAAATATACACATGGTATAAAAAGTAAAAGTGCACCTATTCACTGTCATCCTTTCACCCAACCAGTCCCATCTCTGAGAGATGACTAATCATTAATTGTATTTTAGATTTTTTCCTAAACATATTTGGAAAATTATATAAAAATTTTTAACAAAAAATGGAACATATTACCTGATGTTCTCTAACTTCTTTTTTCACCTGATATTTCTTGGACATCTTTCCATGTCAGCACACATAATTCATTTTTTAAACAATGTAAAATTTTCCATGGTATGGACATACCATTATTTATTTAACCCATCCCTTATTGCTGGACGTTTAGGTTTCCAGTATTTTGCTATTACAACGCTCCAGTGAACACCTTCAAGCACATGGGCAAGTATACCTGGGGATAAATTCCTGGAAGTGTAATTGCTGTCACAGGGTATGACAGTCTTTCATTTTGATAGATGTTGAGACTGGCTGCTGCTTGAACCTTAGGGCTCAGGACTATCTGGGGCAGGGGAGGATCATGCGGTAGGGAGGAGGCCCCTTAAACTAGTTCTGTTCTCCAGCTGCGGCTTGATGAGACCCAGGAGGCAGAGTTCCAGGCCCTTCGGCAGCAGTTGCAACAGGAGCTGGAGTTGCTCAATGCTTACCAGAGCAAGATCAAGATCCGCACAGAGAGTCAACACGAGAGGGAGCTCCGGGAGCTGGAGCAGAGAGTGGCTCTGAGGCGGGCACTGCTGGAGCAGCGGGTAAGAGGGCTTGGCCTCCAGCACAGGGTGGGGAGGGTAGCCCCCCAACTCTCTAACCTCTGTTTTGGGTGCCCCAGGTGGAAGAAGAGCTGCTGGCCCTGCAAACAGGGTGCTCTGAGCGAATCCGGAGTTTGCTTGAGCGGCAGGCCCGTGAGATTGAGGCTTTCGATGCAGAGAGTATGAGGCTGGGCTTCTCCAGTATGGCTCTTGGGGGCATCCCAGCTGAGGCTGCCGCCCAGGGCTACCCTGCTCCACCCCCTGCCCCTGCCTGGCCCTCTCGTCCTGTTCCCCGTTCAGGAGCACACTGGAGCCATGGCCCTCCTCCTCCAGGCATGCCACCCCCAGCCTGGCGTCAACCCTCTCTACTGGCTCCCCCAGGTCCCCCAAACTGGCTGGGGCCCCCAGCACAGAGTGGGACACCCCGTGGGGGAGCCTTGCTGCTACTAAGAAACAGCCCCCAGCCCCTGCGGCGGGCAGCCTCTGGGGGAAGTGGCAGTGATGTGGGCCCACCTGCTGCTGCAGTGCCTGGGCCTCTGAGCCGCAGCACCAGTGTTGCTTCCCACATACTCAATGGTTCTTCTCACTTCTATTCCTGAAGTGCAAGGTGGATGAGCAGATGAATGGGGCAGGGGTGGGTGGAGCCTGATCCTGGAAGGCTGTGAGCTTAAGGCTCACCTGAGGGTGGGAGACAGGATGTTGGCTCCAGCTCCCCTCAGACCTCATCCCATGAGCTTCTTGGGCTGACCAGTGGCCCAGGGCCAGCTTGGGCATAGGTGCCTCAAGCCTGGCCAGGTGCCCCTGCCTCCCCACCATGGTGCCAGGGTCTCCCTCCATTGCAGCCTTGGGAAAGGAGGGAGATGTGTGTGTCAAATATTCATCTAGTCCCCTTGGGGAGGGGAAGGGTGGGTCTAGACAATATATTAAAGAGAACTATACTACCCCCTGCAATGGGGCCATGGATTGGAGATGCCAGGTCCCCCAAACCTGGGATATGGCAGAACAGGTCTAAGGACTGGGGTGGAGAGAATGGAAGGAAAAGGACTTCTAGGAGAGAAGGATCAGGACAGGGTCTTGGGGTCAGGATGCCTGGTCTCTCCATTCCCCCATTGCTGTCTTGACGTCCTGTGCCATCTTGTCCTTTATATTTTTTTTTTTTTAATTGAGATCAGAGCTAGGGCAGGGAACAAGGGAAAGACCTTGGAAGGGGCTGCTCCGGGCGTGGGAGCAGTCATGGAGCCCCTACCAGCTACGGGGCTGGCACAGAGCCCCACAGCAAGCTTTTAATAAACTGTTGGTTATTCTAACAGACCCTAGGACTGTCTCTGTCTAAGGTGTGTATTAAGGACTGTAAATGGCAAGTAGTAGTGTTAATTCTATTTTAAAATAAGATAATTTACTGGGCTGTTAACTAAAAATTTCAATGACTTTAATGACTAGATCCAGACCCTCAAAGGGGGTCCACCAGTCTCTCTGGCTTCAAAGATTTTTCAGAAGATTTGCATCATGCACAGACCCTGGGCAGCTCCAAGTTTACATCTCAACAGCAAGAATTCCATCAAAGTCCTGAAGCAACTTCATTGGCTCGATCTCTAGCCAGAGGTCTGAGGGTACACTGATTTATCAGGTCTAGGTCCTGCTATACCCACCCCTTTAGAGCTGAAAAGCCAGGCAGTGACTAGGTGGCTTGTTCAGGAAGGGGGAAGGAAGGCATAAACACCAGGTGTTCCCAAGTCATTTCATTTTGTGCTTCACATTCTAAGGCCAGTTATTCAGATGCTTCTCCCAACTAGGCATTAGGTTATCAGGCACAGCCAAAAGCTGTGTGATCATGGGCCTGCTGGTCAGGTGGAAGAATGAGGATAGGAACCACCATTCTCTGACAGAGCCTAGTGGCAGACTGGATGGCAGGGTCTGGAGACTGGGATTTCTTTGGAGAACCTGGAGAAAATGAAGGAACCAGACACAAGGGACTGGCTGCTATTCAACTTTTTGGCCCAAAGTACAGGGGGTGAGAGTGGGGGACCGGTTTTGATGAGGTACTTCAAACACTCCTTTATTGAGTTATAAAAAATAAACACCTTAAACAGAACATGAAGCTGAGAAGTAGGATCCCAACAACTTGTGTCCCTGGGGGTTACAAGTCTAAAGAAAACTGCTGCTGCTTATGCAGGCCCAGAATTGAGAGTAGAAGGGGAATGTGCTACATCAGCTTTCTACAAGTGCAGAGTCCCTTCTGGGGGAGCTCAGTTACTCTCGCCATCACTGCTGATGATGCCACGCATATGTGACCAGTCTGGAGGCTGGGGATGGGGCTTCTCTTCCTCTGAATCCAGGGTCCGGCGGTACTGCTCCCCAGAGAGAGCTGCTTCTCCTGACGGGTCCCAGGCTGTGCGTCTGCGTGGCCGGCCTGGAGGAAGGAGGAGCAGATTAGTCTGAGGAAGTCCAAGCCCCATCTGCTGTGGAGTGGGGCAAAGCCCCTCACCTGAACCACTGATGATGTTCGTAATGTCCAAGGAGGCCACCTCAGCTGCCTCCTCCCGCTGCTCCTTCAGGGCCCGACACTTCTCTAAAGAAGGGTTACCTGGAGCAGAAGAGGCTAGTGATCCTCTCCTCCCTAGCAGTCAAAGCCCCCTCCTACATCCCTAGCAGTCAAAGCCCCCTCCTGCATCCTTCACCTTTCAAGCCCAGGGCTTCCAGCTCTGCCCGGAGGACACTCAGGCGCTCCTTGTGTGAGCAGCAGGAGCCCAGCAGTTTCTTGTAGTTGCGACGAGCACCACAGGCCCGAATGTAACGCTTTAGCCTCATCACAGCTGGGTGGTCTTCATCACAGCGACCAGAGCCATCCTGGCAAGGAAGGACAGCAGCTAAATGCTAAACCTGGGCTTGAGTCAGGGTCTCCCTCACCCTTAACGGTGGCTGCCCACTCCATCCTCACCCTCACCTTCCTGCCTTTGGGTTTTGGACTGCCATCTGTGGAAGAGGAGGAGGAGCTTCGTATCCTGCCTTTCTTGGAGCTCTTCTTGGAAGAGCGGTTCTTCTCCCTCCTGGGTCTACCCCCTGCCTCTCTGTCGCTCACCTCCCTTTCTGAGTCACTGGCCTCACTATTGGTATGGCCCTCTTTGGCTGTCTTTCCAGTGCCTTTAGTAGTTGGTTTCACCCCCCTCCTGCTGTCTTCTCCCTCCTCGCTGCTTCCAACTTGCCTTTTCCCACTCATCCGCTCGGTCCTGTCCTTGCTCTTCCTCTGCACTGGCAGCTCTTCATCTCCTTCACTGTTATCCCTACTGCTTGCTGCTGCTCTTTCCTTCTCTTCCTCTTTGTCCCTCCAGTCTCTCAGCAGTGTCACTGCCCTGCTTTTCTGCTTACAGCTCCTCTCCTCCCAAGCTGACTTTTTCCCTCCATTGCTATGGCCTTTGGGTTTCCAATCCTCCTTGTCCTCTCTGTTCTGTTTCTTTTTAGCTTGGGTCTCCTCCTCACTCTCCTTTTCGTTTTCCTGGTGGACCTTAGCTCCTTTCATTCCCTCTGCCTTCTTTCTGGTCCTCTGGGCAGATTCCACCTCGCTGTCCTCACTCTCCTCCCTGGCCTGCTTCCTACGGGCTGAGGTCCTCTCTAATGCCTGCTTGCTCTTTGTCACAGGTTTCTTCCCAGTCCTGCCTTTGGATTCCTTTTCCACCTCTAACTTTTTCTCAACTTCCTCCTCACTGCTCTCTTCCTTCCAGACCTTACTTGTTCTGGCAGAACCCTCTTCCTCCTCCTCACTGCTCTCCTTCACCACTTCCTTTTCCAATCCAGTCTTTACAGTCAGGTCCTGCTGCTGCTGTTCTGCATCACTGCTCTCCTCAGTTGCTTTCTCTGAGGCTTGCTTTGAACTCTTCTCCTCAGCTGGACTGATGTCTGCTGCCAGCCCATTCTTTGCTTGCGGGCCAAAGCAGTCTGGACTGGAGGCTGCAGAACTTGGCTCTGGGATGTGGAGAGAAGAGGTAAGGACAGGTTCCTTTGTCCCTTCTCTCTCCACTTCGAATAGGTTGTTTCGGACCCTACTCTGTCACAGGGAGGAGAGAAGGACAGTAGGAAACACAGTTCAGTCCACCTTGTTCCTGGTTTCTGAATCACTAGCCTAGAGCCCTCTGTCTAATGCCTCAGGATATGATACATTCACAATACTTAAGAAATAAACCACCTGTGCAGAAGACACTAACCTGACTCTGAATTAAAACGGAATCTTTTTCTCTCTGGGTCACTGCAGGGGGTGGAAGGCCTCTTCGCTCTCTTGGCAAGATCTAGCCTCTCTTCCCTGGCACCTGCTTCATCCACCTGCGTGTGCATCAAGACGGCAAAATATGTGCCAAGATTGTCTTCTGCTACACGCCCTGTCAGGCGCTGCCTCCCCGCCTCCCGTGGCCCAGGCTCACACACAGACCTGCATCTTTAGCAGCTCCTCCTCCACTAGCCGTTTCAAAGCCTGCTTCTCCTCCGGTTCCAAGTGGTCTCGGCCCACGTGTGCCAAGAATCTCCGCCGCACGATGGAGTGCGTAAGCGTGCTGCGGAGACATGCGTCACGACAGGGTCCCCGTCCCTCCCCTGCCCTTCCCAACGCCAACCCTAGCCTCCTGTGCACCTGAGGTCCGGGCGGTCTCGGAATAAGCTGCGGGTGAACTCTTGCATCTTGTTCTCCCACGCCATTTTGCGCCACCTGGGATTGGTGACTCCCGCCTTTTTTTCTTTTCGGCCTCCGTCTTCTCGTTTGACAGGAGTTTACGCACGCGCAGTGTCGTGGCGCCGACGGGTGAGGACCGTTTGGGTGTCTGGCCCGGGCGGTTTGGACCGAGAACTTTGCCAGACAAAACTTGCTTTCCCCGGGCAGTTGGAGGGTCTCGCGGCTTCTTCCTTTTCTTAAAACCAATCTTTTTAAAGTTCTCGTTAGAAACCTATTCGGCGCTGGCAAGTTGTGCGGGTAACGTAATCAACTCCGCAACGCTGCCTCTGTCGGTGGTCATCGGCACCACCTAGACAGCTGTGATTTCGAAAGACGGAAGGAAAAGGACTTCCCCGCCTTGGCGACTAGGATTCCCTGTGGAAAGTCTTGCGGCCTCCAATCGCTAAGCACATTTAGAACCACTGAGGAAACACTCCAGCGTCCACCATTTTTATGACATCATTGCGTTGCCGCGACGCCATCTTTAGCGTAGTCCGGGAAAGAACGTTCCTTTCCCGGTATTCCGTAAGAGGACAGCCCTGAGGTCATGACTCTTAGGCGCGGGGTACGCCGGGAGTTGTAGTCCCAGTAGACTCAACTTTCCTAAATCTCCGGAAGTGGAGGCGTGGGAGGCCGAGCCGAGCCGGCTCGGGGTAGCGGAACTCCGGCTAGTGTTAGGACCGTGCTCCCGGGGCCGGTCATGAATGGGCCGGCGGACGGCGAAGTGGACTACAAGAAGAAATACCGGAATCTGAAGCGGAAGCTCAAGTTCCTCATTTACGTGAGTGCTGGGATATGGTGGTTGTGGCTGGGTAAGGCCTGGCTCTGGTAGGACCTCAGTTTACCCATGTGCAAAGGGAGTTGGGTGAGCTGTCGCCAGTTTTCGAAACACGGCTGTTGGCCCAGCGTCCACATTGCCTGTGATATAGGAACACGAGTGCTTCCAGGAGGAACTGAGGAAGGCGCAGAGGAAATTGCTGAAGGTGTCCCGAGACAAGAGGTGAGACACGTTGGGGAGAAAGGGGGAGGCCAGCGGGAGTTGTGGCTCCTGTGGATCTACATTCGGACCCCATCATGGAGTGGGGCCACAATGCATGGTGCCTGCCTTGAGGCTGTTGTGAGGATCCAGCAGGCCAGCTAGAAGGGACAAGGGCCCCAGGAACATTGCTGAGATGGAAATAAACATTTGTTCTCCCTGCCTCTTCCCTCAGTTTTCTCCTAGATAGACTTCTGCAGTACGAAAACGTGGATGAAGACTCTTCTGGTGAGCAAGGTCATGAAAAATTGGTGGAGGACATGGCTCCTGGCACTTCAGCAAGCTTCCTGGGCCCCTCTTTTTAGGCTTTGGCGGCTGATGGAGCCTCCAGTAGTTCTTTAGACTAGTTGCTTGCCCTCCACCTCTACCTTTCATTCCTTCACTCAAATATTTACTATTTACTATGTTTCAGGCACTGTGCTTTGCACAGGGAATACAGTGGTAATCAAAATGGACAAAGTCTGTTTGTATTCTAGTTGGGGGTAGTAAGTAAGCAAAAAACCTAGAATTTTAGATTTGAAAGGAATCAAATCAGGTTTATGTGGTAGTGATTTGAGTAGAGCAGGGGTTAAACATTTTTTTCTGTAAACTGCCAGATAATGAATATTTTAAGCTTTGCAGAGCATGCAGTCTTTGTTGCAGCTACTCAGCTCTGCCTTGTAGTGCAAAAGTAGCTATATGTGAAAATAAATGAACATGGCTGTGTTTCAATAAAACTTTATTTATGGACACTGATAATTGGATTTCATATAATTTTCATGTCATGAAATACTATTTTTCTTTTAATTTTTTCTCCCATTTAAAAAGCCATTTTTAGTTTACAGACCGTATAAAACTAGATGGCAGGCAATCTCAATACAGTACTCAAGAAAAGGCCTTTTTCATGATGTAGTGTTTGAGTGAAACCTAGATAAGAAGAAACCAATCTTGTGAAACTAGGAGTGAGAGATTTCCAGGCAGAGAGAATAATAAATGAAGATGCCCTGATGTAAGAATGGACCAAGTTGTCTGAAGAGCAGCAGAAGAGCGAAGCAATATAAAGCAGTATTTTCAAACTTTTTTTTTAGTACTATTTATAATCAATAATATCTCTTACATCAGGAGCAAATCCCCACATACATTCTTACTTATAACACAAAATGTAATGAAACAGTGTAAGACCGTTATGTACAATTTATTCTGATACTTCTTAGACTGGTTTTCTTTTTTTTCTTTTCCATTTAATGCTGGTTGCAAATCAATAAATTCACTTCATGACCCTATTGGGTTGAGACTCCCAGTTTGAAAAAGCAGTGAGGTGGGCATTTGTGGTCCTGTGCCAGAGCGGGGTCCTCATAAGCCACGTCACATACAATTACTTCTCATCATGCTTTTAAACACTGGTCTGGAGCAGGGGGTCAGCAAACAGCCAGCCAGGCTACGTGTTTTTGTAAATAATGTTTTATTGGAACACAAAACACCCATTTGTTATCATTTTGTAAGAGGACAGTAGGTAATAGATGAGATTACAGAAGTAGGTAGGAGCCAGGTCACGGCAAAATGTTTGGCTTTTATTCTAGCTTCTCATTGCCAGCTGTTCCTTTCCTGGGATCTTTCCATTAACTTGCTGTTCGAGGGGGATTTCAGAATAGGAGGCCTGAGAAAAACAGCATGTTCATGGTCAGAGGGATAAATCTGAGCAGGGAAAGCCAGAGACATAAGCCACTACTCATCCTGGAAAAGCCCATAGTCTGGTCAGGGAGAAATCCACACATGACATGTTAGCACAGTGTGAGGAGGGCTGTGACATGAGAGCAGAGTTTTGGGAGAGCCAGTAATTAACTGGGCCTGAGGGATTCTGGAAGACTTCTCAGAGAGGTGACATTTAATCTACTTCTTAACTGATCTATCTAAGCAGAGAAATTGGAAAGAATATTGGTTGTTTGTTAAATGAATGATGGACCCCTTCTAGGTAGAGGCACAGAAGTGGGAGACATTTCTTTTTTGATGAACTAGATGGGTGTGTTGTGAAGAGTACAGTTTGTTTGGAAGACTAGAAAGGTAGGTTGTGACCAGATTAAGAAGCACTTTGAATGCTCTCAGGCAGTAGGGGACATTATCAGGAAAGATGTGATCAGGTTTACATTTCAGGTCATTCTAGAGTTGAATGGAAGTGGATGGCAGGAGATTGCTTAGCAGGTGATTTTCACGTACATGGTGGTGGCCTGGCCTTGTGGCAATTGTAATGGGGAGTAGATAAAAACAGGAGAGATTCGATTAACAGGACCATGGATGTGGGCAGTGGAACAGAGATAGGAGCTGAAGGCAGCTTAAGAGATGAATAGAGTGGGATAAAATGGTCAAGGAGTTAAGAGGCCTGTGTTCAAGTCCCAGCCCCATAGCATACTCTCTGAGCCTCAGTGACCTCATCTGGAAAGTGGAGGTATATTGCTCTCACCTATGAAGATAAAGATTAGTGGTGAATGTATAGTGCCTGTTCAGAGCCTGGCATGTCCTGAGTACTAGACAAATGTGTTGTCATGGAGGAGCCTGGGCAGGAAGTCAGCTGTAAAGGACATTGTAAAAAGCTGGACAAGCTGTGGGCCTCCCCAGAACAGCATATGTGTGCCAAATGGGGAGTCAGATTCTCCTGAGCCCTTTCATAGAGTTGAGCCCTCTGAAGTAGACTGAGGGTCTTACATCCCACTCCCACTGACCAGCACTCTGCCTCACAGACTCAGATGCCACTGCATCTTCAGATAACAGTGAGACAGAAGGGACGCCCAAGTTGTCAGACACACCAGCCCCCAAGAGGTGAGAAGAAGCCATTATTCTCTGGGGGTGGGGGGAGGAGGCACCTGGGAGGAGGCTTCTGGCTGCCTCTGACCCTTTCCCCTTCCCCTGTACTTTCTCCAGGAAGAGAAGCCCTCCACTGGGGGGTGCTCCCTCTCCCTCCAGCCTCTCCCTGCCTCCTTCAACAGGGTTTCCCCTTCAGGCCTCTGGGACCCCCTCTCCATATCTGAGCTCGGTGAGTTGGGCTCAGGGGTGGGAAGAGGTAACTGAAATGCCTGGGAATAAGGTGGGCATCGTTTGGGCAGAGGGGGCAGCCTGTGGTGAAGACAACCCAGCTCTGGAGACATCTGTGTGGGTGTGGCCAGCAAGTGTCCCTTGGAGGGGTGTGAGTTGGAACTACCTACTTGTCTCTGGTGCAGGAATGGGGAACAGACATAATAAGGAGAGCAGACCCCAGGACAAAGTCCTGCTGCTGTCCCTCCCCTTCTGTTCTCAGGAGCCACACTCATCACCATCTCTTGTTTTTCCATTCTTCCTCCTGTTTGCATTTCTTCCCTTTACCTCCTACCCCATTCACTCCATTTCCCATCTCCATCCCCCACTCACACCTGCAGCTGGCTTCCCCTCCCTACCCCCCATTCCCTTCTGACTACCTGGCCCTGCAGCTACCCGAGCCCAGCCCCCTGAGGTCCAAGCGGGAGAAACGGCCCCGCCTGCCCCGGAAACTCAAGGTACCCTGACTTGGGGATGATAGGGAGGGGCCAGACGGCAGAAGGACAGCCATCTGAGGGAGGCTCAAGACAAGGGCTTTGGACTGAAGAACTTTGAAGGTTTCATTTGGAAACTGGGGGCCCAGCCCAGGGCTAGGCACTGAGGGGTAGGTCAGAGAAGTCCTGGCCCACAGGCTATTGTGGAGACAAATAGGGGTGGAACCAGCCTTGGGGTACTTGGAGTGCAGACACCTAGGGCCCTGCCCTTGGACTGCTGCAGTGTGGGCCTGGCCAATCCAGGCAACCCCAATGGAGGGGTGCAGTTGTAGGATCTAGAATCAAGTCAAGGCTCCCCAGTTAAAAACCATGTGACCTTGAGCAGATCTCTTTGACACTCTAGGACTCATTCTGCATCTGAAAATCTGTGATGAGACTACATGTAAGGAAAAAGTGTTGATGGAGTGCCTACTATGTACCAGGCACTGTTCTACGTGCTACAGATGTAGTAGTGAACAAAACAGACAAAAATATCTGCCTTCATGAAGGTCACATTCTAGCAAGATAGGCAGAAAATAACATAAATTGATACTAATGCAGGAAAATGGGGTCAGGTAGAGAGCGTGGAAAGCACCAAAGTAGATAGGGGCTAATACTTACAGTTGGGTCATCTGGGATGTTACTTGGTCAGAGACTTAAGGAAATGAGAACATGCCATGTGGCTCCCTGGGAGATTGTCTTTCAGAGAGAACAACCAGTGCAAAGGCCCTGAGCAGGGTATGTGTTTGGCTTGTTCAAGGACCAGGAACAAGGCCAGTGTGGTCAGAGGAAAGTGAGCAGGCCAGAAAAGTTGCTGAGGAGCAAGGCTATGGAGGGCCTTACAGGTGTTGTAAAGAGTGTGGCCTTGAACTGGGAATGAAATGGGAAACCATTGCAGCAGGTTGCGCAGAAGGAGAATCTCATCTGATTTGCATGCTGCCACCATGTGGAGAATGGACTGGGGAGGAGTTATGTCAGGAAGGAAGCAGGGAGCTATGAGGAGGCTCCTGCAGCAAACCAAGTAGAGAAGGTGGAGAGTGGATCATGGATCTATTTCAAAGCATGAACCCCATGAAGACCAATGAGGGCTATGAGCTAGAGGAGCCAAGGATGGTCCAGTGTGGGGCCTGAGCAGCTGAAGAAGTGGAGCAGCCTCTTTCTGAGATGGGGAGGGCTTGGTGGAGCAGGTTTGGGAGGGAAGATATGGAGGTTGGTTTTGGACAGGTTGAGATACTGCCTGGAAATGCCAATGAAACAACTGGATAACGTGAGCCTGAGGCCCATGGGGCAGATTTGGAAGTCTTTAGCATGGAGGTGAGTGGAGAAGAGGCCTGGGCACTGAGCCCCAGGAGAAATGAGAACACAGAAGGCACAGTGTCCTCCAGCTCTAAATCGAAGTAGAATAGGATCCAGGCTAGGCAGCTCTCAAGTTGGGTGGATGGTGGACTACAGGCTGTGGAGCACGGAGCCATTTGAGAGGTCATGCTTGTGGTTAGGAATGTGGGTTCTGTTGTTCATATCCCAGCTCTGCCACTTACTATGTGACCTTGGCCCATGAGCCTGAAAAAATGGGTAGATGATGGATGATACATGCTGTCCTTTTGCCTAACTTAGCAGGCTGTGCTTATGTTGTGTAGGGCAGGATGGTAGAGTAGGCAAGGGTCAGCGAATCCTGGAGCATGGGTAGAGGCGTGGTGTGAACTTTCTGAAGTGCTGGGTCATAAAGTAGAAGAGTGATGGGGAGCTAAGTTCTAAACATACAGGAGAGAAAATATTGGTTGAGAGAGGGGCCCAAATCAATTGCTGTGTGGGTGGGTGGGCGGGGGAGGGTCTCCAAGAGGTAGCATTTGAGCCCAGGGCGAGATTTGGATATTCCAGGCTGAGGCAAGAGTGGAAGGAAGATAGAGACACAGCAAAAGCATTGTTTGGGCTGGAGCAGATGTAAGAGGAGAAAACGACATGAGAAAGAAAGGTTGGGGCGGCATCACAAAGGTTTGGACGCCGAGACTCAGATGTTCTGCAAAAGGGGTGCGGCAGTCAGCAAAATTTCTTGGTGGCTTAGTGTGAGCATTCAGGAAGTAGTCTGAAGAGAGGAGGGAAGTCTGTGAAGAGTGAATGAGGTCAGTTAAGAGCCTGGGCGTCAACCAGACTTGGCTGGTTTGAATCCCAGCTCCTCCACATACTCAGTGACCTTCGGGCTGTTATTTAACTCTCTTGAGAAGCAGAGGGTAGGGTTAGTTTGGACGCTGCTCAGTGGGCAGGCTTGTTCCACAAAACCTCCATTTCTGTTTCCTCCTCTGGCTGATGACCTCTCCTCCCTTACACGGTGGTTGGAATGGGTCAGCAATGTCAACAGAAATCACCTGGCACACAGTAGGTGTTCAATTTGTGCCAACAGGCAAAGCATGAGGCCCACAGAGCTCTCTGGGGAGGATCTGTAAGGACCTAGCAGGGGTGGGGCTGGAGGGTTGGGCAGGACAGAGGCTCCTTCCCAGCCTCAGAGGACCAACCAGGGCTTTTGATAAATAGAAAAGGACACTCCAGGTGCAGGGACTGGCCTGTTCTCTGGCCCACCACACTGCCTGTGCCAAGGGGAGTGAGGAGCCTGAAGCCCTCAAGTGGAGAAATGACGTGCTCAGGTTTATGTTTTAGAGAGCTCACTCTGGCTGCAGTGTGGAGGAGGAGCTGGATCTGGGAGAGGCTGAAGGCAGGGAGTCCAGTTAGGAGGCTGGTACCATAGCCCAGGTGAGCTGAAAGGAAGGCCTGGCTTAGGCCATTGGCTGTGGGGATGCTAAGGAGGGGCCCATCCAAGATAGAAGAGGTAGAAACCTCACCTGGGTGGGGGCAAAGACCTAGACACCCTCCATCAAACCAGTGAGTCCCATGGTAGGAGGGAGAGGCAGCCAGTGGTAGAAAGTGGTATCTGAAGTGCTGGAGGTGGGCAAGCAGGTAGTCACTCCAGGCTGACTCTGTCTCTAACTGCTATAACAGGGGCAGCCAAGGTGTTTCCCTGGTGAGGGCAGGGCCTGCCCTTTCCCTCCTGGTTTCCTGTAAGATCCCTCCCCTCCCATCACCACCTCCATCACCACCTGTTATGCCCAGCATTTGGCTGGTTTGAGACTTTAAGGGGCTGAGGTGGGGCAGGTACCCTGCTTGCAGCATTGGCTGGCCCGGCTATGTCCACTGCCTCTTGAGTGAGCCTTTGTCCCCTTCCCCATCCCCCAGAGCTACCTTAAGGGGCAGTGCGAGCCTCCTGAAGGTCCCAGTACCTCCCTGACACAGCCTTCCTGTTTCTTCCTGCTGCAGATGGCGGTGGGCCCCCCCGACTGTGCTGTGGGAGGGCCGCTGACCTTCCCAGGCCAGGGTTCTGGGGCTGGGGTAGGGGCAGCACTGGCCCCACTGCCCCCTCCCAAGATGCCCCCCCCCACCATCCTGAGCACCGTCCCTCAGCAGATGTTCAGCGATGCAGGCAGCGGGGATGATGCTCTGGACGGGGATGATGACCTGGTGATCGACATCCCGGAGTGACCCCCCTCTCAGTGAGCCCTTGCCCAGGGCCCTCTGTGCCAGCACACATAAGCCCCCAGCTTCCATGGAGACATTTATTGACATCCAGTTGCCATGCTGCGGCTACTGACACAATCAGAAAAGGCGTAAACATGCAGAAATGTCCCCAGGAAGTGGGCCTCATCAGAGAGGGCAGAGGTCCTGCCCTTAACATCCTGGCCCCATCCAGGAGACTTATTTAAATGAGTGGCCAAGGGAATCTGCCACCTCTCAGAGAAGCAGAGATCCTGCAGTGGACCCCTCATTTAAAAGGGCAGCTGTACAGGGCTAGGTGTTTTCATTTTTTAATGATTATGTATTAAAGTAGTGGCTCTTTTTTGCCTTTTCGTCCTTTTCTTTGTTGGGAACATTCTCCTCCTCCAACCCCCCCCAATCCGACCTCCTCCCTGTGGGTAGAGGGGGACCGGGCAGCCTGGAGAGGTAGGACAGAGGAGAGGAGCAGCAGGGCCTCAGCAAGGGGCATTAACAGGACTCCCCCTGCAGTGTGCACAGGATGGGTGGTTTGCATATTTGCATGTGTGGCAAATGAGGCAGAAGGAAGTTTGCATATGTGAATACAGATCTCCACAGTCACGGAGACTCTCAGGAAATAAGACAGGTAGTGGGGGGCAGGGCGTCCACCCCGTGTAAACGTGCAAAACACTCGTGCGGAGGTTGGGTACTGGACTTGGCCCAAGGGGCTTCTGCTGGGCAGCTGTTGTCCCACTCAGGCTGAGGGCAGAGCCCCAGCCGCTGGGGGCAACTCGCTGGTCAAGGTGTGCCAGCGCTCCAGGACTATGTCTGGCTGTTGCAGACAGTCATTCCAGTGCCTCTGGGCCTCTCCTCGGGCACCTGGCCCCAGGGACACACCACCTGGGGAGCAGGTAGATGCAGGCAAAGTCAGGACCCAGCTCACTGCCAGGATGCCCTCCATCAGCACCACCCAGCAGGCTCCTCCCTTACCAATGAAGTCATTGGATTTGCCAATGTCATAGTCCCAGACTGTGACTTCCAGAGTCTTGGTGGCCAGAGTGGAGAGCTCCATCTCATAGAAAAACTCCTGGGACAATGCAAAGCCACACCTTCCTGAGGCACTGCCCTCAGGCCCCCTCGATTTCTGGTCAGTCCCTTCCCTGTTTACCTCATTAAATTCTGGATTGAGAGTCTTCTTCTTCACACATGTTTTATTCTTGGATTTCTTGTCCACGTCGGGCCTCAGGTACCTGCCATGGAAGGTGGGCAGGGTTAGGGGAGCAGGGTGGTCAGCAACAGGCCAGGCCCCTGAAAGGATAGGGCAGGGTTAGGCTCCCTGGGGAGGGGAGGGTGGGCCTCAGGGAGGGCAAGGCTCACGTCTTGACGTAGGGGTCAGAGTAGCCATTGACATCCATGGCAGCCAAGTGGGCACAGCGCACAATGCCCACCAGTAGTCCCTGGCGCTGAGAGGTGTAGCTGAGGCCCAGCAGGATGCGTCCACGCTCTTCCAGCAGCCCAGGTCCCTGTTCTGCCTGCTCCAGCTGTGGGGCAGATGCAGGGGTCAGCCTGCATCTTCACCACCTCTCACCCAGACATAGTCCCTGTGGGGCACCTCACCTCCTTCAGGTAACAGGAGATGCCCCTCAGTGCCGCAGACATGGAAGAGGGTGAAGCCAGCTGAGGGGACAAAGAGAAAGTTCTGGAAACCTGGCCGCCTCAGGAGCCCCTCCCCCTGGCGTCCCACAGCCCCTCACAGACCGGGACCTGGCGCTCAAGGCAGATGTTAAAGTGCTTCTTCTGTGAAGGCTTGAGGCGGCGGAGGGGTACTCGGATCTCCCCGATGAACTCATTGTGGCTCAGCTTGTCCTCATCACAGACAGAGATCCTGGTGGGGAACTGCAGGGTCAAGGCCCCCTGGGGTACCTGAGCCCCACTCAAACATGGGAGAAAGGTCCTCCAACCGAATGCAGAGCACCAGAGGCCAATCTCAGCTCTGCCCTAAATACCCTGCACCTCACCAGTAAAATAGGCTGTTTCATGGGCTTTGTGGTGAGCACTAGGCCAGGAGCTTGAGAAGAACTCTTTGATTTGCTTGGTTCCTGTGCCCCTCCTCTTCCAGCTGTCCAGGCTGTTCCTGGCCCCTTGAGACCTGCTCATCTGCTTCAGGGAGCCCTCCCAAATCTTGAGGACCACCATCTCTACTGCCTCCACTCTGCCTGGGGATGGGACCCAACTAAACGTGCACAGGGCATGCATTGGTGGGGTGGGTCACAGATTCAGGATGTAAGAGCTAGAAGGGCCTGAGGAGCCTTGGACAATCAGATGAGGATCCCACACCTCTTCCTGCATGGAACAGGGAGCCAGCCTGGGAGAAACATGTGAGCCCAGCAATTAAGAAATGATTGCCTTTACTTCTGTCCAGACCCTACTGTTGCCCCCCTGTGCTTCCTTCTGCTGTGACACTCTGGAGCAGATGGGTCATGTAGAGGTGTTCAGATTCAAGATCTGCCACTTACCAGCTGCCTGTGTGACCTTGGGCAAGCCTTAACCTTCCTAAGCCTCAATTCCCATCTATAAAAGGGAGATAATGAGTTCCCACCTCCTAAAACTAATAGGATCAAGTGAAATAAAATTAAGAATCAGTAGCCCACGGTTGGGCACTAGTAAGCCCTCATTAACTTAGGCCTTGTTTCTCTTCTGAAAATTGGTTCCAGCCTTCCTGCTTTCTCTGCCTCTGGTCCTTTCCAGTCTACCCAATACCAAAGTGATCCTAAAACACCCTGATGGTGCCCCTATCCCAGTGCAAACCCTTCCATGACTCAGTGTTGCCAAGAACAAAGGAAAAGGTCTCACAAGCCTGGGTTCTGCTGCCCTTCATTCCCCACCAGGGACTACTCTCCCCACAGCTCCAACTCCTGGGATGACAGAGCAAGTTACCTGTCCCTGAAGACTTCACTCCTTACTTAGAGATGTTAGGGGGACATAGGAAACAGAACAGACAGATGTCTGACTTAGGTTGGGGGCTCTGAGAAAGGGTCTCGGTAACCAGGGAAACTTCCAGGAGGCAGAGTCTCAAATAGCAAGTGGGATTTATGCTGGCTAGGAGCACCTTCCCCACAGAAGAGACAACAGGCAAAGATCAGGAGTAATGAATCTGACCGATCTGAAGGGGGCAGCCCTCTGTTGGAGAAACAGTAGGAGATACTGGGGTGGAGGCAGGAATGCCTGGGAAACATTTTGGCCAGCTGCTGAGGGGGCTGGGGAGCCACTGATTGCTTGAGCATCTGAGAGGGGCTTAATGGGAAACAGATCAACCAAAGAAGGTTCCAATGACAGCTGTGCCAGAGGAAGGGCTAAGCTGGAATCCCTGCTAAAAGGGAGGGAGCCCTCACCTGAGCACCTTGTGGGTGATGTCATCATCCGTGATTCCACTGTACGTCAGGTCCTCATTCCACACGGGATTCAATGTGTTCCTCTGAGTCTTGGTTTTTAGTTTATTGGCCTGAGGTGTGGGGATGAAGTGTTCTCAATTCACGTCCTCCAGACCCATAGAAGCTGAAGGCAAAGGAAGGTTCGGGATGGACCCACAGGCTGGGACACCTTGGGTGGCCAAGGAGGCCATTACCTTGCAGGCTCCTGGCAGCAGGTGCAGCTTGACGTAGGGGTCAGCCAGGCCATTGAAGCCCATGGGCTTGAGGCCCTGGAGAAGAGTGGGGAGAAGAGGGCTGTGAGCGCCCATCCACCTGCCCTTTGCAGAGTGGATCCTTGGGGTGCACAGAGCCAAGAAGGGTGCTAAGCAGGGGTAGGAGGTGAGAGAGGAGAAGCAGGGGTCCAGCCTGGGAAAGGGAAGGGAAAATGGGAACCCACCCCTTCCAGGTAGGAGACGAACAGGGCCGGGGATTGGGAGGCAATGAGTGCCCACCTTAGCCTTGAGGATACTACAGTGCAGAGTGCAGGAGGCCTGGTCGTAGAGAAGGTCAAACTCCAGTGTGCCCAGAGCAGCTGGAGAAGAGGGAAGAGGCAACGTGAGTAGACAGGTGTGTGTGAGAAACCATTAGGCAGGCTGGCTGTGTCAGCTGTGAAGGTGTGTGCATGTGTCTGGTCTGTCAGCCTGTGAGTGTGCATGCGTCTGCATCCCTGGCAGGGCTGCCACTGGGGCTGTGTGGGTGGTTGAGTGTCTCAGCAGAAATATTGAATATTGAGCCTTGCTAGAGCTGTAATCTCCACACCGACTGCAGCTGTGGCAGTGCTGCCTGCCACCTTCCCCCCACACACTCACTTCCCACAAGTCTGGAGGCCTCCATTCTTGCCCTGGGCCCCTCCAGCCCCCAGACTCACTGGTATCATCCGAGTCATAGCTGTCCATCTCAGCTCCATCCTCAGGTGTGGTGGCCCCAAGGAGGGCTGCTGGAGGGGCCAGGGCCAGCGGGGCCAGATGAGCAGGGGCCTCCCCGAAGCCCCCACCACTCCCTTCAGGTCCTGGTCCCCGGCGAGGGAAGTAGTCCGAGATCTGGCGGATGGGCCTGATGGGCCCAGGGCACACGTTGATGGCCATGTGCTCCTGGATGTTGATGGTCATGCGGTCACCCCTGCGGCCCCTCATGCAGCACCCTGATCTGGGGGAGGGAGCTGCGAGTGAGTACGAGCCCAAGGCTGACTCCTTATACCTACCATCTGCTGGCTGAGGGCCAGGCGGCAAGCTCCTCGGTCTGTGGGGCCCTCACTGGCCTCCCTTCCTAGGTGTCAAGGGAGAAGGCAGCCTGTGCCAGCTGATGGGCAGGCAGGAGGCCTGGGCACTCCAGACCCCAGGCTTTGCTCTGTAGGGGCTGGGCTGCTGGCCCACTCCCTCCAAATAGGTCCTGGCTCCACCTCAGATTTCCCACTTACCTCTGGATTGTCCCTTTGTCATCGTCCCAGCTCCTGTTCCTCATTCTGGGTTTCTGTCTGCTTTGGGCCCTGCCTACCCCGTAAGTCCCCCTCCTCTGTCTCTATGAGGCTATCTCCATTCTTCTGCACCAGGCACTTGTCTGGTCCTGTGTCACCCACCCCTTTAGACTTTCACTACCCAGTCTTCATTCGGGTCCAGGATCTGCTCACCTGCCTGACTGGTCCCCAACTACCCAGCCGCCCAAGGTGGGGGACGCCTGCTTCACACGCCTCCCACTGAGAATGGCCTTCCAGAGGAGCCAGAAACGGCAGCCTCTGGAGAGCTAAACACCCCAATAGGCACACACAGGCTAACACACACACTCACCCTCACCCTCATGCCCCGGCAGCCCAGCCCCCTGCACCTGTCTCTGTGCCTCCAACAGGTGCCCAAGCACTGGGGGTCCGCCGGGTGCAGGCTGGGCGGTGGCGGCCGGTGATTCCCAGGGCGGCCGACGAGAAGAGCTGGGAGTCCGGCTGTGTAAGGCGATAGGGAGGGAGAACCGGAGGAAGGGCGGGAGGAGGGGGTGAGCGAGGTGGAGGCGAGGACGCAGCCGGCGCAGGAGGCGCGGGCGGGGAGGGCCGGCCGGTGGCTGGGGAGGGGCGGGACTCTCCCGCCGCGCAGCCGGGCACACTTAGGGGCACACACGCAGTCGCGGGCACGCGTTCTGGTACACGCACCTCTCACGGGCACTCCCGCGCACACGCCTGTGCCCACGTGCGCACACTCGCACACATGCACCAACCAAACGCGCCGGCACACTCACCCGGAGAACTTCGCATACACACACTGGCAAACGCAGGGGGTCCTGCGCCACCCGGAACCAACAGTGAGGACTGCCCCGTATTCTCTAGCTCCTCTCGGGGCCTCGGGCCCCCGCGCTGAGCTCACGGTGCCTCCTCCCTCGCGGGCTCCTTTCTTGGCTCGCGGGTCTCCAGGGCCCGACCACCGGCCTCGTTGCCATGGCGACGACCGCTCCTACCTCCCCCCGCCTCCCCGCCCAGTGTATCCTCACGCCCCTGCCCCGCAGAGAGCTCGAAGGAGGGCTTCTAGCCCGCCCCTCCCCAAATCCGTGGGGGCAGGACCTGAGGGCGGGGCTTAGAGAGCCTCATTGAGCCAGGGGCGGGTACGGAAAGAGGGTCTGATCCGCCTGTGCTCGCTGGCATGGGAACTTGGGGGTCCCCGCACCGAGTGTGGAAGCTCACAGTCTGAGGGAGGAGACAGAAGGCCGACGCTGTGGCTTCCCGCAGGCCTCCTCCTTTGTGCTGCTAAGGCGGCTCTCCTTGGACGCAACCCAGCCTCCATGGGCCCGTGTCCCCAAAGAGATAGCGTCTCCTTTGGGAATCCACCCTCCCTCGCCCCGCCCGCTGTCCTTCAGGTGTGGAGGGACATCTGGCTCTTCATCAGTCTGCCATTCTCCCCTGAGCTCTGGCACCTGCCCATCAAACTCCAGCTTTTGATCGTTGTCCTCCTTTGCTCCAAACTTGCCATCTCCCAAAGACAAAGTCCTCACAGTGGCCTTCAAGGCCCTTCAGCCCTAGATGCTGATTTCTCTGATCTCATCACCCTCACTCCCCTGGCTGCCTTGCAGGAATGGGTATCTGCAGTTCCTAGGACGCACCTGGGTGTCTCAGGTCTCTGGACCTTTGTTCACACAAGCTTCTCTTCCTGGAAGACCTTCCCTTCCTTCAGGGGTCATCCTGGGCCACTTCTTAGGAGCCTTTCTGGAGCAGTCCTCCCACCCCCACCAGTGCTATTACAGGTTCAGTTCTGGTGACATTGGGTTGGTTCATGCCTGTTTATGTTTCTGTCTCCCCCACCACCAAGGAGTGCCATGGCAGGCAGAGGCTGTCCCAAGCTGGGCCTGGCACTAAGTGGCATAATAACTAAATATTGGGATTTAAAGTGAAAGAAATGTGATTGTACAACAATGTTACAGACTTAACACTACTGAACTGTATGCTTGAAAATGGTGAGATACAAATATTGTTATGTGTATTTTTAAAATGTTTAACAATTTAAAAAAAAGTAAATGCAAAATCCAACTATACTGAGATAGCGCTTGTCACCTATCAAATGGTAAAATTCAAAGTATTTGTTAACACACAGTGTTGGCAAGGCTTTGGGTAGATGTACACCACCTCTGTTGAGGCCAGAGGATACCAAGATGACAGAAACAGACTCTTTACCCAGAAATTCCACTTATAGGATTTAATCCTATAAATATCCTGGCCCATAAGCAAAATAAAAACGGCTCAAGTGGAGCACGTTTGCAGTGACAAACAACCTAAATGTCCCAGAGTAGGAAACCAGTTCAACCAGTTATGACACAATTTTAACAATGAAATAGTATGCAGCAATGAAAGAGGCCCTGCATGTACCTGAACAGAATCATCTTCACAATCTCAAGTCATCTTAGAAAAGTAAGGTGCAGAGTGGCATGTATGGAATCTGCCATTTAAGTGGGGAGAAATAAAGAGTTTATATGTTTGTTTATATTTGTGTGAATTATTTCTGGAAGGCTGCACAAGAAAGTGACCTCTAATCAGGTTGCTATGAGACAGGGTAGGGCAGGAACTGGAAGACCTTATTTTCCATCCCTTTGAACTTTTTAAATTTTGTACCATGTGCTTATGTTACCTATTGAAAATAATACATTAAAATAATATCTTTTTCAAGTAAAGGCAACCATTAGATTTCATTGGGGTTCTCCAGGATGAGGAGGAGGCAGTACCAATGGAGGCACATCTAGGACCAGAGCTGGTGGGTTTGGCCAAGGGCAGGGCTGGGCCTTCAGGGAGGGGCAGGCTGGGCGAGAAGCCTTCTTCCTGCCTCCTCCACTGCTGTTCTCACAATGCTTAGCTCAGGCCCAGCAGCACCTCTAGAAAGATTTGTTGCAGGAAGGTGAGGATGAAGCTGGAGCTTGAGCCAGTGGCAGGGGAAATGGCAGACAGTGCTGAGCTTGGCTTGGCCAGAGCTGGAAAGGCTTTTCATACACCTACTAAGTCACTGAATACCTACTATATACCATGGTGCTGTAACTATGACCAGGATCAACATCTCCAGCTTGACAGCCCTGTAAGATAGACAAGTAGAAAGTTCCAATGCAGTGAGATTGCTGCGGTGATGGGGGATGGACAGAAGGCCATGGGAGCTCAGGTTTGCTTTGCACAGCAAGTGTTGCCTCAGCTGAGAACTGGAAGCTGAGGAGGAGTTAGCCAGTTCAAGTGTGGGCACAAGAGTGTCCTGGGTAGAAGTGTGTAAAAGGCTGGAGTGTGCTGAGGGAGAGTGTGGGCCGGGCGGAGGTGGGTAGGTGGACAGGGCTGGGTAAGAGTATTGTAGTTCAGGGTAAGAAGTTCAGAATTTATACAGGAGCCATGAGAAACCATTGGAGTATTTTAAGTAGTGGATCTGAGTGTTCTGGTTTGTTCTCACTGAGGGAAGTGCAAATAAAGATCATCAGGCCCACAGGCTGTTGCAATAAGCCAGTTAAGACATGAGGTTGGCTTGAATGAGGGGGCAGCACTGAAGAGGGAGGGAGGTGGATGGATTTCAGATATGTTAGAAATTGAGCCAACATGGCTTGAATATGGGCTTGTCAGGAGAGAGATCAGGAGGGGTTTCAGATGATTCCTTAGTTTTTGTGTTGATTAGAACATCTAGAGGCGTGTAAGACCATTTGCTGGATTGATAGGTTCAGGATAGGAGAATCAAGAGCTCCATTTGGGATCTATTGAGTTTGAGATGTTTTTGGACGTACAGAGACATGAAGCAGGAAGTTGGGTAGAGAAGTTTAGAGCTTGGAGGAGAGGGCTGGGTTGGAAATATACATTTGTGAGTCATCAGCATATAGATAGTATTTAAAGCCATGAAAATGGATGAGATCACTTTGGGAGAAAGAGTACAGACAGAAAAGAGAAGGTCCAAGGCTGAACTGTTTAGAGAAGTCCTGAAAACTGGTGAGCTGGCTCCCGAGCCTGGAGGCAAGAATGTGTGCACTCTGCTCAGAGACAGAACAAACAGAGCAGTACCCACTGGATTTGGCAAGTTAAGAGGTCATTGATGCACTTGGCAAAAGTGGCTTCAGCAGAGTAGTGGGGAAGAAGTCAGGTCCACAGCGGTTGAAAAATGCAGTGAAGTTTTGTGCAGAGACAGCAAGTGTAGACAGCCCTTTGGGGTTGCCCGTCTAGATGCTAATGATGTGGATCCAGGAGTTCTCTCCCTGTGATCCTCGAGGGCAGAGACCATGTCCTGGTGATTTCTATCCAAGCCATAAATGAAGCCCAGCATATAGAAGGAGCTTGATATATGTATTTAATGGCTGGCTGAATAAATGAATGGATAATTCACTGCTGGTGTCAAAAGGGTCTTTTCTAGTGGAGAGGGCAGCTGTATTCTTTTGAGGCAACTTAGGACACTGCAAAATCCACTCCGAAATCCAAAAGGCTCCAAACGCTTTTTCCCAGCTAAACCCAAAGAGCAACTGTATGCAGGTGTGAAGCAGAAGCCCTGGCGCAGAGCCAAGAGACAGGCTGTTTTGAGTCTCATTGTCCTGCCCAAGCCTGTGACTTTCTCTGCCTCTTTCTGAGAAAGATAAGAGTAGGGGAAAAAGCCACATGACCCAGTCCTCAAGAGACCCCATAGATGCTAGTCTGCCTCCTTTCCTCTGCATTTTTTTTCTCTCTGGGCTCTTTGTTTTAGGAAATTGAAGCTGACCAGGGCAAGTACCTCCCAGGGCTGCTGTGAGGAGAATGGGTGGGTGGTACCTAAGGGCAGGAAAGATGGGGGGATCCTGTGGAGAAGGGAGACTCCACCAGAGGGCAGAGGGCCCCACACATGCCACAGACACATGCCTGGCTTGGTGGAAGTCACGGAACAGGGACTGTCACAGGCTGTTGTACAGATATCTGCATAGTCAAACCATGGAGACCCTAAAGTGTCCTTGGGCTTGGGTGGGACAGGACACATCTGTGACAGACAGGCCTACCTGCTAATCAGAGAGGAACTAACTTTTGGAAGCTGAGGGCCTGCAGTAGTGAAAGAAGCTGTTGGGAAGTGACAAACCCAAAAAGGCAGTGACTATAGGGAAAATGGGATAGCCCCTTGGGGAGCCTACTGAGAGGAGCCTGTGAATGATCAGAGACCTGACTCCGGATGGGTCAGAGGACTTCCTCTGACAACCATGCCTGCCACTCCTCAGCAATACCTTTTCCTGAAACACCTGGTGCAACCCGTGGGAAGAGGCAGAAGGAGGGTCTGGGGTGCCTGGAGCTCTGCCTTCCCCGATATGGGAAGCCAGGACCAGGCAGGCAGGCAAGTAAGCAGTTGTGGGCTCTGCTGCCACCTAGTGGGAAAAGTCTGTTACTTCTCTTGGTTCCTCAACCAGGGTGGTCCTCTGCGGAGCAGGGAGACCTGGTTTGCGGGGCGGAGGAGTCCCTTGTGCCCCCGAATTTGGGGACACAAAGCAAGTTAGTGTCTCAGGGAGGAAAATGAACACCCCCGGGAAGTGTGCATCACCCACATTACTTTGCTCCTCTGTGCCTTGGTTCCGTCTTCTGTGATGGGTGTTGTGATAGTTCGGTGAGTCCATCTAGGTGGTAAAGTAGTTGGCATAGTAATAAGAGCTCAGTAAGTGCTACCTGTGGTTAGCCAGGGGGTTAACTGAGGGTGTTAGGCCAGGCCCTCCCCAGTAAAACTGAACCTGCCATACAAATGCAGCTTTTCCTAGTCCCAGCCTTCAGCAAGACTCCCCAAGTTCCCCCTGTTTATAAATTCTGGGGCTGCCACTGTTACTGTTTTATTACCAGCCTCATCCCAAGGCATGAAGGTGCTGTGTGTCCCAACTGTCCTCTTCTGATTCAGGGTTTTGGGGGAAGGGTCCCAGCTCCCAGCACTTTCCCTGTCCTCTCACATCAGAATGACTCCAGGCTGTGACATCACAGAGCCCCCACCCCACCGCTTCCCAGCAGTGGAAGAGCCATGAGGCTGTGGCAGCGGGAGCAGGTGTGGGTGTGGCTGGTCGGGCTGGAGGCCATAGAAACAGGTAGGAAGCTGTCTCGGGGAGCAGCAGCAAGGAAGATTGCTTGGGAGGAAATGGTCAACTGGGGCTTCGGGGCTTTCTCTTTGCCCTCCACAATTCTCTCCCATCCTCCCCATCCAGCATGGGCCTTCTTGTGGAGAGCTCAGTTGATCCTTGAGAAGTTCCTGGGACAAAAGCAAGCTCCTCCATAGCCATTAAGGCTGTGTGGCCTGGCAGGACCCTAGGTTGGCCTCAGCCTCTTTGGGTGGGGAGCAGGGGTCTGCTTGAATCTTGTCATAGACTTTGCTCTGGGTCCCCAGCGCCCAACCTGGAAAGTGCTAAGACCTCGGACCTGGAGGCAGAATCTCCAGTCTTCATAGACAGACCTGACTTCTTTGATTACCCAGATTCAGACCAAGCCAGGCTCCTGGCCCTGGCCCAATTTACTGGAGAGAGTCCTGTCATTTTTGTTGACTCAGGTATGAACCAGCTCGAGAAGGGGCCTCCCTCCTTGCCAGGGCCTCAAGGAGAGCTGCCCTTGTCCCATCAGTTGGTGGTGAGTCCAAGGGCCCCATCTCCCCTCTTTGTCTAGCAGGTCACAACTCCAGGTTATTCCATCACATCCTTGTGGGTGCTCTGGCTGTGGCTGCCTTCTTCCTCCTTTTCCAGTTCTGCACACACATGTAAGGCTCCCCCAGCCCCAGGTCTACCTGCCTCAGCCTTCCTTGGGAGAAGCTGAAGAACCCAAAAGCCTAGGGAGGCAACATGTGATCCCTAACCTCTGCTCTCCACACCCCTAGAAGCTGTCGGAAAGGGTCCTAAGGAGCTGGACCAGGGCGTTGGACTCTCCTGCATGCTCAAACCCACCTCCTCTTCTGCTGATGAATAAAAGGCCTTGCTTTTCAGTCCCCTGACTGCTCACTGACTAACCAGGGGGCCCTGCCCTGTTCTGGGTCATCCATGCTTTCTATCCTCAGGCCTCCCCACCCTTCAAAGCCCCAAAGAACTGGGTGAAGAGGGCCTTGATGACATTCACGCAGATCGTCTTTATTTGCGGTCTGTAAAGCACCTCCCAGGGTCCCCTGACCCCAGACTGGAGGAAGCCTTGAGAGGTCTGTAGCACCAGGGACATGCTGGGGTCCGAGGGCAAGATGTGCAGCCTAATGGGGAAGGGGCCAGGTGCCCCCTCACTTATCCCTGGGGTTGCTCAGCACTGGGAAGGCTGGGGGCAGCAGCCACCTCCCTGCCCCAACCCCCAACAAACTAGTTTGCATTTGGGCAAATAAATAAAATAAATAAAATTTCTCAGGCTGGCTAGCCTCCCTTGAAGAGGAGGCTCATGGGCATTAGTTTGGGTGTCCCCTCCCTCCCAGATGACAGGGAGCTGAGAAGAGTTTGCAGCAGGGGGGCTGGGATGGCCTTGGCAGCAGGGCCTCCCCTACATTCTCAGAGTCCGGGTCCCCTTGAGTCTCTGGGAAGTGGCAGCCCTTCCTCCATCCTTTGCTTCTCCAGGGTCCCAGAGATGTGATCAGAGAAGAGGTTGTGCAGGAAGGGGCTGACTCCCCTCAGCTCAGGCACTGTGGGGAGAAGTGGTCCCCTCTCCCTTCTAGCCGTCTCACCCTGTCCCTGCCCTTCAGCCCCTCAGGGAAGATTCCCCACCCCTTGGGAGTCCATCTTCCAGTCCTGGGGCTATCAACCAGAGGCCCCTTGGCACCCCAGCCCCACCCAGCAGCCTCAGAGCCTCATCCTCACAGGGTGGGGAGGGTCCCCCAGGGCCCCAACTTCAGTCCTGGGTCTGACAAGGAGAGGGCGGTGGGGAGCCCCGGGGCCGGAAGAGGCGGCAAGCCCCACGGCAGATGAGGAAGAACCAGTAGATCTGGGGGGCGAGCAGCAGGGCGGCGCCCAGGTTGATGTGGGCTGGGATGGCGAGGGGCACGGCAAGAAGGGGCAGGCCAGCATGCCGCCCATAGGCCCAGTACAGGTAGGGGAAGAGCAGCACCCGGCAGCAGAGGAAGGTGAGCAGCATCAGCGCCCCGTTCACCTTGTGCAGCAGCGTGTGCTGCTGCTTGTACTGAAGGCAGACCAGGTGGGGGTGGCGTGAGGGGCAGAGGGACTGCCTCAGCCCGCTGCCCTCACCCCTGCTCAGCCAGAGATACCCCACCTCCACCCATCTTCCTGCCTTCTCCTCCCCAGATGGAGCTGCTTCAAGGCCTCCCTTCACTCCCTGCGCACTACCCCAGGCTACAACCCTCCCCAGACCTGACCCTTTGCCTGACCTTAAACCATCCCTGGAGGTCCCTGAAAGTGCCTGCCCTTCCTGTGCCCATATGCCCATCAGGCTCATAGACCCTCAGGTACCCTCTCACCTGGATGAGAATCTTGCCAAGGCAGACGAAGGGGGTGCTGACCTCGGCCATCAGCAAGGAACCTAGAAAGAAATCTCCCTTGCCCTGACGCCACACCTGCAGGGAGAGAAAGGAAGCAGCCTGGCCTCACCCTGGTGGTCCCCTGCTCCTCTCAGTAACTTTTGGAGATGCTTCACTCTGGAAGTCTGAACACACATGTCCAGGAGCAAAGCTGGAGCATTACCTTACTGTGTCCCTCCAGCAGTGCCATTGGAAAGACTGTATGCCTTATGTTAGAGATGACAAAGCTGAGGCTCACATGCAGTGGCAGCTCCAGAGCACCATGCTGCAGGTAGGCCAGGCTCAGCCAGGCCCCCTTGTTGTCTGGGGCTGGTCTGGTGTCCAAGTAAACCCTCCATGGGGACCCTCCATCCTGGGTCTGTCCTGCTGCTGGGACCAGGACCCTGGGCATCCCAGGCTCCTGTGATGCTGGCATGAGTGGTACAGGGGCCCGGTTTTCTGCACCCCAACTCACCACTGACAGCGGGAAGCACACGAGCACCATGACAGCGTGATGGAGCACCATGAGGAACTCCTTGTGCAGGTAGCCACGAGCCACAGCCCAGGTGTTGCCTGGGGCTCTGGCCCCCCCTTCGTCCCCTCCATGTCCCTTGACCTGGTGCTTGTGCCAGTGACAGAGGAACATGGCGTAGATGTCATAGATGAAGTAGGGCACTGCAAATTGAGTGTAGGCAGAGGAAAGCCAATGTCTGTCGGGCAGAGAGAGAGAGAGGAGGAGAGATCAAGGTGGAAAGGGGATGACAGAGCAGCTGTTGGGCACTGGAGTTGGTACTGGACGTGCCCCCGAGTCAGATCTCAAGAGACATTCACAACAACCCTGAAAAGTGGACTCTTGAGTTACCTGATGGAACCCAAGGGTAGAGGGCAAAAAACCTGTTCAAGGTCATGCTGTCACATGACTGGTAAGTGTGCTGGGATTCAAACCCAGACCCTCTGACTTTAGAACCCATCCATTTTTCATATTCATTCATTCCTTCATCCATTCATTTGTATTCTCTCTCCATCCCTCTCTGTAACATAGTGAGAGAAAAAGGAAGAGAGACCAAAAGATAGCCACAGACCATAAATGAAGTGAAAAAACAAGTTCATCTGAGATGTGAGATACAGCTGAGGCCAGGACAGATAACAGCCCGGAGACAGAACAGTGACGGGAAAGACCATGTCGTCTGGCATCAGTTGGCTATTGCTACAGGCAGGCACTATTCTAATATGCTAAATCTTCCATAGGCATAAACTATTCACACCCCACAAAAACCCTATAAAATGTATATGGTTATCACCCCCGTTTTACAGATGAGGAAGCTGAGGCTAGGTAACCTGGCCAAAGAACAAGCATGAGAAATCTGGCTCCACAGCCCTTACTGCAGCCCCACTGTCCTTAGGAGATCTGAAACAGGTGTCGCAGACAGGCCCTGCTGGGGACTAGTGGCACTGCAGTGCTCCTTGTGCCCCTTGAATGTGGCCCAATCTTGTTTTTGCAGGTACAGCCAGGCATTAAGGAGAAAACGCTGAGCAAAAGGAGCCAAGAACAGAGAAAGTTCCATGTACTTTGAGAGTAAACAAAATAGAAAAGCGCATGACTATGCAGCATTGCATCTTCCTTCTTGAGTCAGCACAGTGAGCACTTTCTCTTCAATGCTGTGGTCCTGTGACAGGTCTGAAGTGGGGAAGGGGAGGCACAGGAGCAGGCCCAGAGAAATCACCCAGCTAGGTGGAGGGATGGAAACAAAGGCAGCCAGAAGTAACACAGAGAAAGAGCTGAGACCAAGTATGAGGATCTTCTGAAGAGAGTAAGACCCATGCGAGGCCAGCTGAGGCACAGGCGAGATGGAAACAGAACCTAAGCCCTGAAGGCTGGCCTGGAAGGGAGCCACAGCCCACCTAGCAGGGCCGACTCTGGGAAGAGACCCTGAGACCCATGCTGGAGTGTGTGACCAGGAGGGAGAGAAAGAGGAGAGGGAGCAGCAGCCCAGGTCAGCTATGCAGGCAAGAAAGTGTGGGGAGCCAGAGCAGAAAGGTGGTCCAATGGCCCGAGGAAAGTTAGGGCAAGAGTGGCCTGAGAGCCAGCCCCAGCTGACATGGTGGGCCCACTGGTTTGGGGAGGCCCAGGACCACCCACCAGGCCCTGGGCTGCAACATGGATGGTTAAACCCATCTCCACCCGCCCAGCAATCAGGTGCTGTGAAGTAGCAACAGCTGTTGCCCCTGGATTAACCTGATCCTCCCCGCCCAACCTGAGGATTAAGGGGAAAGGGACAATAACAAACCTGGGGGGGAGGTTAGGGAAGGAAACGAAAGAGCAGAAAGGTGACCTCTGTGTAAGAAGATGAGAGCAACAAGCACATGGGAGATCTAGGCTCATCTTGGACCCAGAGGTGGGGCAGAGGGAGAGGGGCAGGAGGCGGCCAAGTCACCAGGCGGGATCTGAAGAAAGAGTTTGGCATCTACTGTGTGTAAGCCTGAACTGCTCTAGGCATTTGATAACAGTCCTCCCCACGGTGGCCCTTCCAGGAAGGGATGGACCTCACTCCACAAGTGAGTGAACTCAATGTGCATGGAAAGAGGGAGTGCCTCTAGGTCAGGGTCATCCAGACAATTTCCCTAAAGCTCCGTGGCCACCAACGAAAGGGAGCAGGGCTGGAAGTTAAGCATGGGGGCATCCTCAGCACCCTCTCAGGCAACTCTGCAGCAGCCCAAGGGTCACCTAGAGCTTGGCCCGGCAGCACCATGGACAGGGCCCCTTTCCTTCCTCCTTGGATGCCACCTCTTCAGCTTGGGCTTTTTTGGCACGCAGCAGGCACTGCAGCAGCTGCCAGTGCCAAATTTTGGCCTCTTCACCCTCCCCTCCAACTCCCCCACTGCCTAACTGTTAGTGGCCTTGTTTGTATCATCTCTTTCCTCTTATCTTCCTCTTGTGCATGGAGCTGGGGCTGTACACCTGGGTTCTGGGAGGTGAGGGGTGAGCCTGGCACACCTCACCCCATTGGGTAATGGTTGGAAATGGGGTCTGAGGGGGTGTAAGGGTGGGAGGAGGTAAGGAAGGAAATGACACTCAGAACTTATTAGGATACAAGAGACTAGGAAGCCTAGGAGCTGCTTTGAGAATCTTTTTTGATTCCCACTCCTCCTCCTGGTTCTGACCTTTAAGGACAGGACGTGGATAAATTTATCCCTGGGTGTTGAGTTGCATTGCAGTTAACTTGCTCAGGCCCAAGTGAAGGGCTGGAGGACCACTAAGAGAGCTCCCCTAGAATATCTGGG